AAATAGGAAGCATTAATAAGGTAAAAAAACCAGTATTTCACTGAATGAATTTGAAGTTTGTCAACAAAGGAGTCTGGCAACACTGATGTAGAAGGTCGGGGTAAATGTCGAAGTGCGCCACGTTAGGGAACACCACTATACTAACACACGTCAGGGAACCTCAAATTGAATTTTTTTCAAAACTAATCAGTTATACTTTTCATATCTGCCATATTTTTCCGTCAAAAATCAGTATCACCGATTTTACAGAATTCTGATAGAAATCAGCTGAAAAATTCATTCTGCTAAATGTTCTGTCAAACTCGTTTTTTTTCCTCAAAAAATCTGTCAATTGAACCACAGATCCTCTGTGTACGTGTAGAGGATCCGTATTTCAACCGAAATTCGGCTAAAACGGTCCTCCTGGCCGGCGCAGTTATACCGGTTCGTTAGTGTGACGTCATCTGAATTAACCATGTGTACTTCATGCACACTGTGATGACGTATCCATTGTTGTGTAGCGCGGAACCGGAAGTTAACGGAAAATGTTTATCCAATGGGCGCGAAAAATCGACCTCATTGTAGCACACGTCCCTTACCGGTAAAACACCTCAAAATCATCTAAAAAGGCGGTATGGAAAGGGGACCGAGAGTAACACGACGACTTGAGCGAAATGGCGACTTATAAAAGCCGACTTAGAAGTAAAAAATTCAATGGAAATGCATTACGGACAATCGGGACTTTAGTCAGACGGCCGACTTGAGCGATTTGACGAGTTGTACGATGACGGTTTAGCCGGAGTTTACTGTATTACAAATGGGGCCTAGGCCAACACCCCTTTATTCAGCATTTTATTTTAAAAAAATGTATAGGCCTATGTACAGGCCTTTTTTCTCAGACAAAATTTGGCCGCCCGGACCCAGGGTCCTTATTCATAAAAAAAAAATTGGCCACAGTTTTATTCTGTAGCAATGTTATAGATAAGATATTTTCATATGTACTTTTAGAGTAACTCTTTCTGCTTCTTTTGGCGACATTTTCACTGGATTAGCTTTTATGCATGACTGCACATGAGACAGTTAGGCCAAAAAAAAGTCTCCGGCAAAACAAAACTGGCAAAAAGTGGTGCGGCAACGCGGCTTTTTTTTTACCGGGTTTTTTTTTTGCTTCTAATGTCGGCTGATGACTGCAAATGGTGCCCGACTATATTTAGTGCAAATATAATTATGGGAGTCCAGAGAGGCCACATAAAGCTTATTCTCGATCATAACCCCATCTAAAAACACGTTAAAATAAATGTGCAACAGCAGGATTCCAGTCAAACCAGTGAGTTTGGCGGTTTTGAGACATCATCTTTCATTGAAAAAAAAAACTTTTTCATTTTGCCGACGCGCGCGCATACCAGAAACCGGAGATTTTTTGGCCTTTTGGTGGAATCTGACTTGCCCCAACTGGTCACTGGCTGGATAAGAATGAGACAATTTAAAAGAACACAACCATTGTCTTGGTTCTGGTCATGCAATGCATAATCAGTTCAGGTTTGTGGATCTTGCTTGCAAGAGTTTCAGTTGGCAAATCTGGATGACCTCCAGGAAAGGATAACTCATGAAATTGACATTCTCAGACAAGACAGGGAGGTGATTCGCCGTGCTGTTGCAAGAATGATGCGCCGAGCCCAGGTGTGCATTGAACGAGATGGTGGCCATGTAATGTTGAGGACTAAGACACCGTGAAATTTAATTGCCTTTTTAATTTAATTTAAGTGTTTTTCATAAACACGAAGTTTAAAAGCTAATGAAATCCTGTTTTGTCTCTTTGTTTGACAATGGTTGTGTTTTTCTAAATTGCCCTTCTTATCCAGCCCTGACCAGTTGGCGCAAGTCAGATTTCACCCGACCCCTGTCTCCTGTGCAGTGATGCATGAAAACTTATCCAGTGAAAATGTCATCAAAAGAAGCAGGAAGCGTTACTCTAAAAGTACATATGAAAATATCTTATTTATATTGCTACAGAATAAAACTATGGCCAATTTTAAAAGTGTATATTTTGTTTTGACTCGCACTGTATATAGCAGAAAATCATGCTGCTGCTTAAGCACTATTTCATGCCATGAATGTGCTAACGGTTGCGCGTGCATGGCGATTTCTAATGTTTGTCACTGATTTAAGCAAAGTTGTCTTCTGGCGTTAAGCATGCTTTTACTGTGCTTTTACTGCTTGACGGCTCTATGAAATGGAGGCTCAGTAAGCACAAAGTCTGCTGTTAAGCAGCACTATAAAGTAGGCCCAGCGCAGAGACAGGTAGGGTTGTGCTGGTTATCACTCAGATCATTTATGTAAGCCAAAGGTCCAAGAACTGATCCTTGAGGAACTGATGTATCGATTGGAGTAAATGGAGATATTTAACCATATACAACTACCTGGATACTTTGCCCCATCGAGTAACTTGATATCCACATCAGTGGCAGGCTGTATGGTAACTTTATGGCAAATTATTTACTACGGAAGTGTATTTAGGACATGACCAAACAAAATTCCGGCCCTCTATTTCGCCCGGGCGGATTACTATTTCGCCCGGGCGGATTACTAATTCGCCCGGGCGGATTACTAATTCGCCCGGGCGAATTACTATTTCGCCCGGACGGGCGGAATAGTAATCCGCCCGGGCGAAATGCTAATCCGCCCGGGTGAGATCGTAATCCGCCCGGGTGAAGTAGTGGGCCTAAAAAATATTTTGTCATGTCCTAAATATGCTTCCGTAATTTACTGTTGCGCGACATCGTAGGAAAGATGACAAAGCAGTGATTTTCATTTGAACAAGATTGCTGCTGCTTTTATTAACCCTCCTCGTGGAAACATACATTCTGTGCAAAGTTGTCCTTTCAGTCGAAATCAATCAAGTGACTGTTTTTAACGGTTAAAAGCTCCCAGCCAACATAAAGCAGGATTGACTGACTGTTACTGGTTGTGTGTAACTTGATACCGCTATGTTTTGACTGTAGGCGATTGATAAGCCAGCTGTGCTACCAATTGCCTGGTTTTGTCAGTAGAATGAATTTGACTTGTTCGTCTGTCTGGGATCAAGACATTGTTGTTGTAGATGCATTATCGCGACGAAGCACCAGAAACAACCACTTGGCAATCTTGTAAAGGTTGTACATGCACGCGCACGTACCTCTGTCTGGCCTGATTTATGCAACACGCAGTACACTCGCATTACATTGTGCTACATTGAAATTGCTTCTTCACAAGTCCATAATTCCATACAATGCTGCAGTTTGGGACTGTTTAAGAAATAGCAGACAGGATGCTTTGGGGTGACACATGGAAAATTGGGTTAAAGTAGTTTTGAATCAAACTCTTAAATTTCTTCCAGTAGCAAACAAGATGCACCAAGACTTTTGAGCAACTTTTCTTGGCAGTTTCTTTGATGTATTTGGTATGTGCGGGACTGAAAATGGACCGTAAGTGCCAGAGCAAAAGTAACACATGCCCATTAGTTTCCCCTACTTTTCGGGGGAAGATTTTTCAAGATTCCCTAGGCGTTGTTGGTGGCAGTTCGTGGGCGATAGCGATTCGTCGCCATAATAACGGCAGAAAATGATTGCTGTTATTTCAAAACACTTTTCAGGTAGATTCAAGCTCTTACAAAATCGAGTGCAAGATTTCTTCTTTAATTTATAGTTATGAAAGTGCAGAATAGCCAGAAAATAGTGTGGTCTTTCTGGGTTCTCAACCCTTCATGTGTACCACAGTAATGTATGGCCTGGTTCACAATACTGAAACCATAAACACAATCTCTAATTTTGTTCATTAAAGTAGCATGCATTACTCAACAAAACTCAACAATGTAAAATTTCATTTCTTCAACAAAGTCAAATTACAACCCTAGAAGTTGTAAGTCAATTTTTATAACAGAATTCATTCACATTCGAACCCATTCTGGGGAGGCAAGGCATTTTGTCTTTTAGGGGGGGGGGGGAGTAAGTTTGGGTAGGGATTAGTTGAATATGGAGGTCCTATTGTTTAAACATTTGTAATTATTTGGGTTTTTTAGTTTCAAATAATGTAGTTTGTAACAAATACTTTGTCAAAAGTATACGGACACTGTAGCTTCGAAGCCAGAGGAAACCTAGAGAGATATTTCATTGAAGAAATCAATTATCAGCTTGGAGGAATTTCAGATGAGGACCGTAATCAATTAGTGCAACGCTTCTAGTCCAACCATGGTCAAAGCCTGGTCAAAACGTCGACACAAACCTCGTTGGTCCTGGCTCCCTGCTGTACGTTATGATGCTCATGGCTATTGGTAACCAGCGATGGAAACGTGCCAAGAAATAGTAGTTCAAACACAAACTTGCACTGTAATGGTGGCAGGAAATCCCCAGAATGATATTTCAGGAAAGCCACATACATGTATGTAAGTAAGGACTGAAAGCCCAATAATCATGTTAGCAGGTAGGGGATGCGAGGCCAGCGGTGGCGGAACAGTTTTCAAACTGGGGGGGGGGGGGGGATATCACCAAAAAGTGGCATTTGCACAGCCGTGCTGAAATGTCGACACGTTTTTTTCACCGGACACTTGGCCTCAGTAAAATCTAATGGGGGGGGGGGGGGGGGGGGGGGGGGGCCTGGTACCATTTTCCAAAATAGGGGGCGCTCTTCAAAACTGGCCATTATGCAAACTACGCATGATGTGCCCATTTTCGGGGAGCATTGTAAGGATTTTGGGGCTTGGTTTTCATATTCCTCGTTTATATCAGAATTCTCTATACCATTTTGGGAAATGGTTACGGATAGCAAATTATCCGACATTTTAGGGCCAGTTTTGTTTTCATCTCAAGGGGGCACATTAATGCTCGAGGGGGCACATTTATGTCCGCAAAAGGGGCACTTTGGTGCATCTGGGGGAGGGGGGCGCAAGTGCCGCCCCTGTGCGAGGCTAGGTTGCAAAAGTGAAAGGTTTGGAAAATGCCAGTGTGCCAACCTGACTTCCCAGTCATAGATTCAAATCAAGCATATTTTCTCTTTTCTGAAACTGTATTATTAGACTCTATTAAATTAATAATTTAGATTTAATAAGTGGCTACAATTGCTGTGTCTTGGTAAACTTTCTTAATGTGTAAACAAAACAAATAATAATTCTAATTTCAAAGTCAATTTTTTTTTTAAAATCAATACATGTATTAGGTTTTGCCCTTCACCGACGTATAAACACTTTAAACTCAGTGAGTTACCTCCAGAGTAAAAGTTGGAAAAAAACACTCGGGTGGGACTTGAACCCCGGTGAAGGGCAAAACCTAATATTGATTTACATCATCCTAATGCAAATTCCATCTTATGAATATTTGTTTTTAAACATCATGGGATAAATTGTGCGTTTCTGTGCATTAATTCTTTACAAATCTACTTCATGTGAGATTCAAGGATCATTCTGCAAGAAGCTTCTTCAAAATGGCAGCTAGGAGCAATCCTATCGCCATGGAAAAGGAGAGAGTGGGAATTGCAGCGGAGGAGCTGAGTTCAATCTTGAAACCCATACCAAAATGAGTGTAGCTCTGGACAATAAAAACAAACAAAAGTAAACCCATGTCAACGGTCATGATAGGATAATGACAACCTATCACTTGTACACTACAATCTGCTTGAGATATTGAGGCAGTGTTTAGACTATACTATAAATGTCACATTTCCTTACAAGTGCTCAACTGCTTTTCCACATTCCTTTTTAAAGGACCATCTTTTTTAAGGTTAATTATTCCAATGTCTAGTCCCACTACTTATCTCTTCAGACCAGGAGCCTCTCCTGCAAGCAGTCATTAGCTTACCTGATAGTAAACAGTATCAGGTGTTGAGCTGTCTGGTGTCCATTCCAGAAGTCCCCCGACTACCCTATCGCTACAGTCTAGAGTGAGATGAGCCTGGTACTCGGCAAAACTGTCCAAACTGTCAGGGTTGCTTCCATCATCGATGTACTTGCACAGTGGTCCAGCTATACAATAAAATGTCTATTTTTAAAAAGAACTTCCTAACTGTCACAGCCACGTTCGTATGTGACCTAAACTCCAAGTCTCCAACTCAATCTTAGGTTTTGAAAGGAGAGCACAGATTTAATTTCCTGTAAATCCATGTCAACATGATGTTTCACAAGTGAATTCACAATTCACAGCAACGTTAGATGGAATTGAAACATTCCTTAGATCAGTTCTCATGCATTACTGACTTAAAGCTTTAGACAAGTTTAATGCATCAACAGCATGGGCTGCCAACACTTCAACCCAAAAATGTGTCTTCAATAAGGAAAATGTCAAATTGTGCAAATTTCTTGCTCCACAACGAGATAACAGATAGTATTAGATTGAGAGTGAAAAGTACCAAGTGCTATAAAATATTATACAAATAACAAACTGACTTCAAAAGAAGTAACGTACACCCAACCCTAACCGCACCTCAAGCTACAAAATACTACTGAGTAGTACCCTGTAGTGTGCATTTCTTTCCATACAAGTGTGCACAACACATGTAGTATTCTGAAGTATTTGGTCCTTGACCCCCAAAGAGCCTTTAGGGGTGTACAGGGTCAGTCCATACATTTGGGGTCCAATTTTGTTCATGTCACCCTGTTGCATCTGACATAAGATTTTGAAAAATCAGGACACATTCTTTGATGCCTTTTGTCTCCAAGAGTGATTATATAAAGTAAAGTACCTGCCAATTAAATTAAAAATAGTTTGAAGTCAATTTTAATGAAACTTGTGGCAAACTACACAGGTCAGGTGTAACAGGGACACAAAAATGTCACACTTTTGGACCCCACATTAATGGACTGACCCTACATATGTACACATCAGACATTGAATATTTTGGTAAAAAAAGGATCAATGACAAAACCAAATGGCCCAAAAGACCCCACAAAAGCAATGTATATATTTTCAATTTTTATAAAATGAAAATACATGCTTTTATTTCAAAGCACAGCAAAAATATTTAATAAATTTAACAATCGCAGCGAGGACGTCCTAGTAGCTCGCATCGCGCTTTCTATCCGACCAAAATAGGCTCACATGACGTCACTTACGTTGTATAAATACCACGACAAAATGGTCAATCCGCAGTCCAGTTTCAAATTTATTCTACAAGTTCATCGCAGTCGAGTTACATTCAAAAGGATACTACATCGACTGCCTTGCGCCTAGGCTGCCTCAATGCCACTTCAATGTCGCACGATTCACGCTCGCACAGCGCCCGAGTTGCCTCATTACGGCGCCCTTGCCAGAGCGCAGAGGTGTTGCGATTGTTTTGAGCATGCTCAAAAACTTTGGCGCTCATCGGAGACCATAAAGACCCTCCGGCGCCCATCTGGCGACCTATGCAGTTGTTGCTGCGATCTAGCAGCCATTTTTCAAGGATGCAGTGGGAGCGCATATATGATCGCAGACAGTCTGACAGGGCCTTTACAGTAGGTTGCCAAGTAACCCACTTCCCTGTTTATACAGTGAGTTGCCCACATTGATTTGGACTCCAAACTACATGTATAACACCTGCATTACAAACAAAGCAGTGTACTTCAACTTAACAATAAGAATGAACACTTACTCTGTTTATCTGCATATATCACCTCTTCCTGTAGGGATTTAATAAGAAAAACATATTCTTCATAAGACAGCTTTATTGAATTATTGAACTATTGAATTCTGTGTTCAAAAAATGTATCTATGATTCTCAAGGAAAAATGTTCTACAAAAGGTAGACGGATGCCATGTAGATGGACGCATGTGTTACGAGTACACGGGGATCATCCAAATATCACTCCAACTGTGACCAATAGGTAACAAGTTGTTGATCAGAAAGTGACAAGAATTCATCATGCCGAGATGTTGGGACAAAGGTGCTTCATCATCCTCAACGGAAGGTTCGATCAGTCCACCATCCGATGTCCCTGCAGTCAGATCACTCAACATTGAAGATGGCGACGCCATTGATGGCCTAGGGCGCAAAATTTGCGAAACGCTCGATAAAGCTCTTCTAAACCAGGAGTCTTTACTCCGGAGAGTAACGGACATTGAAAAAAACCCAGAAAGGCCATGGAAGAGTCACTGAATTTCTCGACATTCAATATCAACGATCTGGAGTCCAAATCCAAGATGTTACTGGAAAGAAAGGCGAGAACAATAAGCTAGATGGTAGCGGCCCAGAAGAAAATAGCCGACCTTGGGGACGCTATTCTTCAACAAGAGTGGTACTCAAGTAACTTTCATCTACGCTTCGGGGGCGTACCAGAGACTCAATCAAAAGATCCGATCATCCCATTCAACCAATAACAGAGCTATTAACAGAAAGATTCGGCATGACAGATGTGGTGATTGAGAATGCCCACAGAACCAGCAAACCACCAAAATCTGAATCAGATAACCACAGCATTATCTTGGCGAAGTTCCTGTATCGGTTAGAAAGACAAACTGTGCTAGATCGAGCAAGGGCCATGAAGGTATCCTTGGCAAAGTCGTGAAACTTCGTGCTGAGAGACATGCCTGCTGCTGATGCATGGCACAAAAAAATATCAATGCGTGACATCATGCAGAAGGCATACCGAGACGGCAAAAATCCGGTCTTCATCAGGAACGGCGATCTCTACATCAATATGAAGAAGCACATCCCAGTTCCTGAATCTCCTTAGTCATCCTGGAAAGGGGGGCACAAGCGCCCCTCCTCCTCCTCGCTGAGCCACTGATAAATTACTCCAACTCTCAAGTTCCAAACAAACTCTGAAGCCAGCAAGGGCGAATCCAAATTTGTGTCTCCCAAAAAGTGGGTCAAAAAATTACAACGTGGGGTTCAGGGCCCGCTTAAGGGCCCCGAAATTTTTTGGATTCTCGATGCTCTGTGGTGCGATCTGAGGCAATTTCTGACCACTTTAGCCAATGTTTTTTGAGGAAAAGATGGTGGTGTACTCATTGCCTGCCTTTATTGCGACGTCACATAAAAAAAAAAAATTGGTTTCGGTTTTTTTTTTGGGGGGGGCCATGCATGGCCCCCTTTGGCCCCCCCCCCTGGATCCGCCCTTGGAAGCCAGCATGGTAACAGCAATTAGTGTACATGTATAGCCATACAAAAGTTAAAAGCTGCTTTTTACATCCCTGTAAAAGACAAAACTGAAACAAAACCCGCTGGAGCATGTGCTCCAAGCCTATTTTGATGACATCAATGTACGGCTCTGCAATCAGACGACTGTCACTATTTTGTGCCAAATGTCACACAAGTACGTAAGTACACGTACGAGACAATGTGTCTGGTGTCAAAGATGTAACAGAACAGGAGAGTGACATAAAGTTGCTGTGTTTGTCTTCAACTTTGTCTTCAACTTTGTCTTTGACGTTGAAATCAAAGCTAGGATGGGACTATTGCACAGTATAGATGTGATGAACTGCTGGATTGGGACCAAGCTCAAGATGGCAACCACTGTCATACCGATGCCAACATTAACAGGTGGTGAAAATCCGAGAAATGCCAAATTGCAGTTGCTTATTGAATATTCTAACATGAATGATCAACTTCGACAGACAGATGTAATGGGTAGAGAGGGCTCTGTGCTCCAGCTGCCAGTGCCAGTCATTTTCATTTGCTGTGTTAATCTGAATGTTTAATCAAGTAAAATCTCAAGTAAAATTTGTTAGAGCTGCATTACAACAAATGCCCTCTTCCAAATGCCATTTATGAACATATAAAATTGTTGGGTGTAGAAAAAGCCAAGGCAGGGATGTTGCAGTGGCAGACGATGACACAACAAAACCTGTAATAATGGTGGGAATGTAGCAGTATGGCCCAATGCATTCCTGTTTGTATTTCTGACAACAGATCAAGGTATATCAGCTTCCACGGATACAGACGTAAAATCATTGGTTAGACTTCCCTTAGCGCAACACTCTGTGGAGTCAATGCAACCTGGTGTATCGGTATAACCACCAATCTGTTTAACCAACGCCCGATCCCTGATGAACAAATTGGAGGAAGCAGAATTGACCCTGGATCAACTACGTGTTGATGTTGGGGTTTTTACCGAATCCTGGTTTTCTTCAATGTACCTGATGACTGGTTACTTTTGCTGGCTTTAATACTTTTTCCAAATTTCACAAGCAAAGAGCGGTGGAGGTGTGGCAGTTCAAATAAGGTCACGCATCAATGTGCATGTCATCGATGATAACACCGGACCCGATGAGCTAGAGTGCATTTAGATTATATTGCGCCCAACTAAACTTCCCATTACAATGCGCCCAACTAAACTTCTGCAATTGTGATCTGTGCAGTTTACATCACAACTGACTCACCTTATCAACAATTTTTGGGGTCTCGTTTATTGAACTGTTCAGACTACATGTATTAACATTCTAAGTATCCTGATATTGATTTATTGCTTTTATGTGATTTTAACCATATGAATGTATGATCAAGAGGATTAACGACTTGAATCAGATTGTTGATTTTCATGTCACTCTCGATTTAATGCTCACTAATCACACTATGAGTCGCTTATACCAGTCCCCTTCTCATCAATAGGTCATAGCGACCATATAAGTATTCGTTATTCAGACTCTCCCTGTTCCCGTCTCTTTCCAGACTCTCCTGTGCGTGCTTTTGGATCTTGTCTGCAGGGTCAGGACATCTATGATCTTCTCATCAATCGTTTGATATGATTTTTCCCATTAAAAAAATCAAATTGCATGTCCCTGATAAGCCATGTATGTAGCACTATCATGTAATATTTCATTACATAGGACTGCTGTTCATCACCAACCTTTTTCTGTTCCTCTGAGAGCTGGCTGTATCCTCCTCTGTCGCTGCTGGTCAGATAGAAAGGATGGTAGTTGCCTGGATTTGTTGGATCATTCCCACCAAAAACGTTGAAGATGCATCTCTTGCCTCTTTGCAGCTTGATAACCGGCACCAGAAGACCATTGATGTACCAGGAATATTTCCAGCCGCCTCTCTTTTCTATTCAAACAAATCACAATTTGACCTTTTGACCTGGACCCAATTTTTATGGTTCTGCAAACATCAGAATCCCTGCTTATGAGTGACTTTTGACCTGGTCTACAGAGTTGACCAACTTACTGCCATGGAAAGCTACAGGCAGAGGGAATTTCCTGGAGTTTTACCAAAAAAAAGAGTTTCCCACAATCAGCAAGTTAGTAATGCCTTAAATATGTATTTTCAATTTGGGCGTTTCACAATGCAGTGCGCCACCAAGAGTTTCCCATGGAGAGTTCATTTTCCAAGTTTACGGTCAACAAAACAGGGCCCATTTGAATGAGTGTCAGTAGACAACTTGAGCTAATTAGTTGTAAATTGGGGCATAGCGTTCTGCTGCCTTACAAAAACACACCATATTGATAAAAAGAAAAGAAAAGGGCAAACAGGTACTCGAATCATACGCTTACGAAACTACTGACTGGAAAAACAGGCAATTTCAAATGTCCCGCACTGCGAATTTGTCAACCATCTCTGGTGATTCTATAAATCTGTACAATACTGGAGTGGTTTTGGGTGGTAAAAGTTATAATGATGGGTAAAAGCAACTGACCTGTGATTGCGCTGTATCCTCTGACACCCCCAGCCGGCCCTAGGTCCACTCTCAACTGGTCTTGGTCTCTGATCTCAAGTGTCGGCCAAGCTGGCAGCGGATCCACCGTATAAGGAGGAATGTTGATAAGCTCTGGGCAAACATTGCTTGCAGTACGGCCAAAATTGATCTGTGTTGAAGCTGTCCAGACACAGTCATTGACATTGGGTAATGTTCTTAAAAGTATAATGAAGGGAGACTGGCTGAGTAATCCTGAACTATTTTGACTACAGAATTAATTGCCTTAACCCTAACCCTGCCAGACGCAACACAGTGCATCAGGCAGAAAAGTCTGGTGCACCATCTTCCAAATGGGGGTGCTCTTTAAAAGTGACTAATATGTATACTGGAATAAAATAATGTATGCGAATTTTCATGGTGCATTGTAATGGTTTTGAGCTTGTTTTTCATTTCTTGTCCATGTCAGAACTCTCTAACCATCAATGGAAAAAATATCTTTCAAACAGTTGTTTTAAACAACTTCTTTTAAAACTGGCTTTGGGCTTGGGATGCTGAAAATGGCCCGAACCGTCTGCAAGGGACATTATCGGCGACTCGACCCCAAGCCTGTTTTTAACGTACTTGTTAATACCGAGCAAGCACGCATTTCTTCCCATTCATAAATACCATAGGACTCTATGAAATACGGACTCACTGGTAATATTGCGCATGCCTAAGTGAAGATTGTGAAAGTTCAACTAATAAAAGGTAAAAAGGACCAGATTTCATAGAAGTCAAAATTTCATGTGACACCGGAAAAGTGCTTAAAATCAGCCAGTTGGTGCTTTATCAACCGTTTACAACCACCCTTGTGACAGGCTCTCAACCAATAGGAATGGGTGAACTGTCTCAGGCATTTATGAATGTTCCCTTTGAACTATTCTATCCAAATAGAATATGGGTTACAACATAACAAAGAAAAATCACTACATCTCTCTCTAAATGGCATGTGATCACACTTTTCCACTTTAGCAATTAATCTAGTAAAGGTTAAATTACTCCATCTTTACTTTATGAATAAAAGGTTTGTGGAAACACCATGTGGGAGTAATTTCTCAAACTAAGAGAATGGTTCTGAAAACCATAAACTCGACGTTCCGGTCAGAATGCTCCGAACGTCTTCTAGCAGAGCATACTGACTGGAACTTTGAGTTTATACCACTGGTTCTTTTCAGAACCATTTTCTTAGTTTGAGAAATTATACCCACACGGTGTTTCCACAAACCTTTCATTCATTAGTATCTCCACCATGCAAAGCCTCAAATCTTACTTATCTTTGCTTTACTTTTTTTCCAAACTTTAGCTTCAGCTTCTTCAGTTTTTATTGAAGGCTTTGGTTGTAAATTCCTTAATGTGGGGGACTCAAGACTGAGCAAAGGGTCCAGTTCATAACAATGAGCATCAAGTCATGATACCACACCAAATGTTGCTTAGAGTGCGCCATTTGTTTCATGAACCAGGAGATATGCTGAAGATGTAGCTTAAGTTGGAACCAAAGCCAACTTTCATAAAATGACTATTGTTAAACGTAGAGTAGATCGTTTGTCATTTGTATTTTTTTTTTCATTTGAAGCAACAAAAGTGCTCAAAATCTAAAGAAGGATGCTTAACAACTGATGAAGTTTTTAGCTCAGTGAATGCTGTATATTCTGAGAAAACAAAATTTTAGGATCTCAATTTCAATTCAAAAGTTGCCGAGTCATATTTTTAATTGCGCCCAAAATCAGCAGAGACACGTTCTCATTCAGCCAACTGCAGCTACGCGATGTAACACACTGAACCAATGAATAATAGCAACCGCGAGCACATGTGCATCGCGTCAACGCTTGCGCGCACCCGCTGCACAGATTTTTTAAAATGCGTCACTTGATGCATCTTTGGAAATTGCCTTCTTTATTGTTTTAGAACTTCAAAATGACAGCATGCCAGAAAGAATAATTTCACAGGGAGTTTAGTCCCATTACTACCTGTAAACCAAGTAAGCTTTTCAACAATAATTTTATCAGCTACTTTTTGGATAGCTGCAATTAATCTACTCTATCTTTAAATCTCAACCTGCCCTTATTGCTATTTGGACAGATGATTAAATGCCTTACCTGACACAATAGTGTCTTCATTGAAGAGCACAGTGTTTCCATCTTTGACTGGGCCAATTGCCCAGACAACATAGACTGACTTATCTGTGGGAATCACCTTATCAAGGGAATCACCTACACAAACACACAAATGTGACACAACATTTTGACAACCACATCCTCAAAAAAGAAAGGTAATGGACACCATTTGCAAACATTCAAAACTCAAACTGTCAAAATATAAAATGTCCTGTCCTTGATTGTTAGTAGATGATCATACATCCTGTTAAATCATTGTGCCTAGGAAAATTACTTTAATTTCCGTGTGATGGTTAGGATCAAACCATTGCACTTTTAATTGAAACCAAAGATTTGCATAGAGAAAAATGAATGTACTTTCACAGTATTCTTAAAAAGTATGTTCACTGAGCTGAAATTTCATACCTGCTTCAGATTTACTGTATTGTTGCTCCTTAAATCAGCAAAAAAACCTGCGCTAGGCCAAAAAAAAAAGTCTCCGGTTTCTGGTATGCGCGCGCGTCGCAATAGCCATGCGCGTCGGCAAAATGAAAAAGTTTATTTTTCAATACAAGATGATGTTTCAAAACCGCCAAACTCACTGGTTTGACTGGAATTCTGCTGCTGCACAATTTTAACGTGTTTTTAGATGGGGTTATGATCGAGAATAAGATTTATGTGGCCTCTCTGGACTCCCATATATTTGCACTAAGTTTAGTCGGGCACCATTTGCAGTCATCAGCCGACATTTGAAGCCAAAAAAAAAAAAAAAACAGGTAAAAAAAAAAAAAAGCCGCGTCGCCGCACCACTTTTGGGGCAAGCTCCATACCAGAAACCGGAGACTTTTTTTTTTTGCCTTATGTTTTTTTCGTAAACAACCAAAAATATCTGTACAGATGATTTTACTAATTTTCGGAATGCTCACAGCAATATTCCAAATATCTCACGTAGTCATCTTTTTACAGATGTTCTCTCTTGCTCTTTTCTATAGATGTCCCTGTCACCTTTCAATTACCTCCACATCTCAAACACTATAGTTGTAATGTAGTCAATCACATGAAGAATGCATGAACAATTACAAAAGAATGGCCATATGAATAGCTTGCCACTGGGATAAATTGTCACTGACTTATGACTGGCATGTGATCTGATTAAAACTCTGTACCAAAGGGATTTTGTCAACTTGAATGTATACCTAAAGGGTCATCTCTTTGACCTAAAAGTACATTTGGACCACCCACCTGTGTCCAAATAACGAGAGTAGGAGATCCGCATGACTCCGCCCACTGTTGAGGAGGATGTCAGGGCGACATCATTGGTTCCTTCAGTAGGCTTGGCAACAGTGTCAGGGCAGGCTCCAGATCCCATTGAACACTGTAAGAATACATTGACGTTTGACAAAGAGATGTTTGCATTAGGAATATGAGTATTGAAACCTACTCAAAGAGAAAGTTAGACATGTATGCAGAATTACCAGAAGTGAAGCTAAACATTTGGATGGAAATTCCTACAGATTTAGTTAGGAGTGGTAGCATTGATAAGAAATGTAAAAGAACCCAAAGGCTTTTGTTACAAACTATTCTTTGGGCTACATTCTACCAAATGTTCTCTTGGACAACATGGTCAACCAGGCCGAATATAACCCCAGAAAAATACAAACCCTGAAAAATAAATTTACAATTTCATTCACAAAGTGTGACTTCTTCCTTCAAATGGAGCGCACAGTCTTTCATATGGAACACTCGCGTCAAATTTATGGCAGGGGACATACGACACTGTACTGACTGCAGAGCATATTTTCTAGAGATTGGCATTTGGTCCCTAATAGCCCATCCCTACAACCATGCTCATACCTGTGAGGAACTCTGCATGTGATAGTCAACTACCGTCGGTTTCATATTGCGCAGGTTGACCCAGGCTACTGCGACATCCGAGCCCCTGATGTGAGAGGTCATGCCACTCACACCAAACGCCATGAAGGAGCTGAGAGGGATCTTGCCACTCAGTTGAACATCGATAATGCCCCCTTTGATAGACCAACGGACCTGGAGATGGTCTGCAGACAACACTTCACAATTGTCGTAAACCTAGAAACAAAATTATTGATATTGGTTTCAAGAAATACGAGTATGCAATCACTAATTACAGTACCTGTTGCTGATTCAACCATCCAGTCAACAATGGGTTTTTTTTAATTGTAGAGTAGACCCATATATAACATAATGACAGACTCCCATATTTTTCATGTTCTGTGTGCTTCATCCTGCTTCCAACTGTCTAAGAGTTGGTCATGGTTGGGTCCGAGTTGGTCATGGTTGCGTCCGAGTTGGTCATGGTTGGGTCCGAGTTGGTCATGGTTGGGTCCGAGTTGGTCATGACGGGTCCGAGTTGGTATGGTTGGGTCCGAGTTGGTCATGGTTGCGTCCGAGTTGGTCATGGTTGGGTCCGGGTTGGTCATGGTTGGGTCCAAGTTGGTCATGATGGGTCCGAGTTGGTCATGGTCGGGTCCCAGTTGGTCATGGTTGGGTCCGAGTTGGTCACAGTTAGATCCGAGTTGGTCATGGTTGGGTCCAATTTGGTCATGATGGGTCCGAGTTGGTCATGGTCGGGTCCCAGTTGGTCATGGTTGGGTCCGAGTTGGTCACAGTTAGATCCGAGTTGGTCATGGTTGGGTCCAATTTGGTCATGGATGGGTCCGAGTTGGTCATGGTTGGGTCCGAGTTGGTCATGGTTGGGTCCGAGTTTGGTCATGGATGGGTCCGAGTTGGTCATGGTTGGGTCCGAGTTGGTCATGGTTGGTCATGGTTGGGTCCGAGTTGGTCATGGTTGGGTCTTAGATGATTGAGACCGAGTTGACTTGCACCCTACAACACCCCTGTCGCCGAGTGTCATGGCAGGGTACCCGGTTGCATACAGTGGGGTTTGGTAACAGTAACTGAAGTGCGCTAGTGCCCACATGAAACATCATCAGGAAATTTAATCAAACTTGCATCGGGGCCGTTCTTTGCAGTGCAATTACAGCCAATGACAACACACTTAACGGTCCAATACTCTATTCGTATGAATCAACAACATCACTACAGTACAAGAAGATGGCCGGCTGCATATTAATAATTCCAAAACCTTTTTCCCTGCGGTCTCAATTTTGTCCATGCTCCGCTAGCAAATGGCCTTCCAGCTTTATTGTTAAATCATGCTTTGTGTTAGTCTGAAGTACAGACCGTGGGAATGATGGTGTAACATAATGCACACAACTTAGTCATGCAGAGTGATTTGAAAATTTGATTTGCTGGAACTACGCCACCGGCTGCTGCAGTGGGAGTCCTACATGAGAGTTCATACTTTTCCAGTGATATGTATGCTGCCCCCAACGACAACATTTACAAAACATTTTCACAAATTGCACCTGCAAAGCAGCTCTCATTATTACCTTCTGTATTCTTTTCATTGTGGAAGTAATACCCTTTTTCTTTAATCATACAACATATACTTTAAGAATGACGAAGATTTCTTCAAGCAATCAACATCAACTTTAAGATATCTATTCATATAAGTGGGAGGTCATGTTACATACACATCTGTAACATGATGCAACATATGTGCTATTTCATATTGCGATGTGTTCCAAATACCTAAGTGCATTGCATGAGACATCGTCGACGCTATTATTCAGCTATATATTAGCTTGTTGTCGCCAGTGGAGGCCCTTTTCACCCAATAAGCCATTTCGGAGTTACAAAAATGTACTACTGCACGTGCGCACATCAGATTCAACGATTTAGTGTCGGAAGATAAACAAAGCAGATAAATGCACTCAAGTCTATGGGGGAGGTGGTAATCGAATCCACCTTTTGCAATTTTGTTCTAGTAAAACAGAAGATGGAAATTTTTGTTCACACAAAAGTTGGAGCACACGAAACAACGTAAACCATGGTGCCGTTGAAAACAATCAACATTTTGCATCTACTATAAAATAAGAAATTTTCTTTAATTTCGTTGGTACCCCGCTATGGTTTTGCACGCGTGTGGCGAACTGTTTATCCCCCGACCCTAATCGTTGTCATGGGATGTGCGCATGCACAGTAGTACATTTTTGTAACTCCGAAATGGCTTATATACATGCATCAGCCAATGTGAGCAAAGAGTTCAGAAAGCATTGGTAAGCTTGAGGTCTATTTTTCCAGGTGTGGTTCAAATTGTTTTGCCTGCCTACCCTGATCACGTCGGTTGACGGTGGAACATTCCAGGAGCTAGTATTGACAAGAAAGAAATGTCCAAAGCTGACTACGAACTTGACACACCACAGACTGATGTAGGAGTAATCCGAAATAGTCAGGTTGCCTGGTGGGAGGGTCACAGTGATGGTTTCAGCACGGAAGATACGCTTCACTTCCTGGCTCACACTGGTCATACGAAAAATAAAACTACTTCAGACTTCACACAAAAGATTGTCAGGCAAATCTACCTTGTGTAAGAGGACGATGTAAGGACTTGTGTAAGAAGATGATGCTTGTGTGGCCTACTTATGAGCTGTAGAGTGTAGGACATGGTGAGCTTACACTAGTTCATGCATCCCGGACAACATGATCAGTTTACATCTAAATATGCATCTTCTCACAGGAATGCACCTACAGTAAGGGTGGCCACACAGCAGCAATGTCACACGTGTCCATTATATCTTCTCTCTCTTTCACCATCGAGGGAGTCCTTGCAAATCCATAGTGACCAAGCAGAGGAGACTGGAGAAAAGTGGCCTAGCCACTATGAACAAGTTGCTCCAAAGTCAAGAGCAGTTATGCAAGACAGTGGTTATGGTGCAAGAAAACAGTACAGCAATGGTAATACTTACGCATCTTTCCACAGGAGTGCAGTCCCATTTTCATCTGGTTGTGCTGCATGCCCAGCCCAGAAAAATACCGCTGGGGAGGAAATCAGCATAATTGAACAACTAAACAGTAACAACAAAACTCTGTATGTTGAGATATAATGAAGATAACAAGGGGCAGAAAGGACAAGAAAATTATGGAAAATATGGATAGAACTGTGAAACTAAGCAAGAAACCTAGACGCTGAAAAAGCACAGAAGTTAAAAAATTTAAAACCAAATCCCATGACGAGAAAAGGTAATCAAATATTTAACACCAAACAAAAAACCTCTACAAATTTTTTTTAAAACGTACACCTCCCCAATCTCAGATGCTACAGTATAACTAATTATGGACCTGTTATTCACTTAATCCCTTTAAAACAGACCAACACCCTTTCCCTCCAAAGTAAAGCTTATATCATACTGAGCATGACAACCAAGTAATTGTGGTGAATATTTAAATGTATAAAGGGAGAATATTCCCAGACCTTGACACTCAAAGAGCTCCCCCATAACACCTATATAATTTGACCATACTATGTGAATCCCGGGACATACCGTTATTTCGTTTTACCGTTTTGGATTTCCTCAAAAACAAAAACAGTAAACACACCATTGACCTTTTTTTTCGTTTTACAGTTTTGTAAAACAGTCAAACGGTATTAGGTCACAAAAAACAATGACCTTTTTGTTTTTTTTCTTAATTGTTGAAAGCGATAAACGGTTAGTTGCTTCATTTCAGAGTGTTGTTTTACAAGAACATGACAATGAAAAACGGTCAATAGTCCTGTCGACCATTTTTTGATTTAGGTTAGGCAATTAAGCAATGCACCTAGGAATGTTAATGCGTCCTCATGGGATCGAGTCATTGCCTGGGACCCAAATTACCCTCCTCACATTTCGTTCTCACGACATAGTTTTCGAACTGGCTATTGAAGAGCCGCGCCGAACTCCAATTTCCTTCAAATATCTGCAACTTCTTCAAATGTATTACCATCCTGTATCCATTGTAAAAGTAATGTCCTCCCTTGAAGTTTTGCAGCGCCATTTTTGCTTGCAACTCTTAAGCCCCACCAACTGAATCGCGTGAGAAGGGGGTCAGGGTCACGCCAGGAATCACACCACGCATTATGCCGAGGTAACACTTTTCATGTAAAGCATGGTCCCCCTCCATCCCCCTTGCCCAGCACCACAAAATGCACCACGGACTGTTCACTATGACACTGAAATAAAAAAAAACGGTCTGTATTCAACACTGACCGTTTTGCTGTTTTTCAAAGTTATTTGTGTAAAACTGTAAAACAAAAATCATTGATCGTTATGCTGTAATGAATTTTATTAAACTTATAAAACAGAGAAACCGTATTTATCTTAATACCGTTTGACCGTTTTACAAAACTGAAAAACGACAAAACGGTCAATGGTTTGTTTACTGTTTTTGTTTTGAGGAAATGCAAAACGGTAAAACGAAATAACGGTATGTCCCAGGATTTATGTGCCGTTGCAAAAATGTCTTTACAATTAACAGATTTCATGTTGTTTACAGTGAATAAATAAATCTGGATCTGAACGTTGCTTGCTTAGACAATCTCAGCTCTTTGCAACCAGCCAGTTCGGTATCTCGATGAAGTAGCCCTGGATAAAATCGCTGACCCGACTCAAGCGGTACGCGAACATTCCTTCTGCTCGCAATTTACGCGCGTGTTGTGCATTCATACGCCTGCGATGAGCGTTCGACTATCCCCAATGACCTTGGATCCATATCATTGTGCGCTTGCGCACTTAAAATACCAAACTGGCTTATGAATACAGCATCATGTTGCCAAATTTAAACACAATAATTATCTCACTGTAACGGGTACCCATTTATGGGTAGGGCCTGACAAATTAATGAAAACTGTCAGGCCCAAGGACACTTGCACTTAACCCCACTGGGTTGACTTGAACCCTGCCATCTGCAGAACTACCAGCAAGACTGAGTGCATTGGTCCATGGCTTCAAAGCTGCTTAGCAGACTATATTTCTTACACGTTATGTGCTGAGCAAAAACAGCTGGAAACCAGTCACAAGCAATATACAGCGCACACCATTTTGGCTTAGTAAATGAGCATGACGAGCACTGACCTGGGCCTTGTCCATCATAAGACATTCCAATAAAGCTGACTTTTTTGCTGTCCTCTATGATAATGTTCAGCACAGACACCTCATGCTTCTTTCCCACCAGGATGGCACCTAGGGCATGTGGGGCCGGAGGAGTGAAGTCATCCGGGATAGTGACAGAGCCAAAGCTTTCCTACAGAAGATCATGGCATTACTTTGCATAAACTAATGACTTACAGAAGAACCCATGTTACCATGCTCCTTGTTAATAATCTTGCGTGATGGAAATCAATATGAATAGTTTAAATTTTCAACCAAAATTAAAATCTCAGAATTAATGATATAATTATGTTTGCAAGGCTTAATTTGCTTGGCCTGCTTGTGGGACAGGCAGCTTCATTGCTTTGTGCCTGCTTTGCAGGTAATCAACTTATAACATACACGTACCGGTACCTACAGTTGTATTTTACCCATTACGTTTGAGGACAAGGCTTTGTTCTTGTAATATAATATAACACTCTCCCACCTGCTCCTTGCTCTATGATTGTTCCTTCTTTGTCTACTGTCCTCAGGCCGTGGGGCATACATTTACATGTACATGTACACACACGTTTTTTATAAAGTTTATGGATTTTCCTTTGTTCCTCTTCCCTTTTCCTTTGTTTGTACTAACTTTTTCGCAACAGCTCTCATTGGTTTTGTACACATTTTCTAAACGAGGTCGTCCTCCATTTGGTTTCCGTCCTCGATTCACCGATGATGTTGCACGTGTGTGCCCTCGATTTACACCATACACAAACGCACATACAAACATACACCTTTTGCACTTTATCGCATAGCGGTGAATGCGGTGATGATATGCAGGAGTTTTTTTGGTTGTTTTTACTGTTTTCATATTAATGATCCATACTTACTCCTTGGTTGTCTGTGTTCCAGACTGCAATATATTTATATTCTGAGATTGACTCAGTGCCTGGGATGTCCAACACCAGTAAGTCATTGTGGTATGCTCCTAAACTGCCAGCTTCTCTACTACAGAAGTAAAAAAAAAACAAATTATAACTCCTCAATTACACTTTTATACCCATTCATAATCACCCTTCAGGTTGAAACCAAAAGAAGAAATTGAAGAGTGGACATAATTTTAACAAATTTTGTTCTACCAAAATATAAGCTTCATGCAAGCTCATGAGTCATTCTCAAGTTCTTAGGCCAAAAAAAAAATATTCTGCTTCTGATTTCATGGCATTCGAAAATAGGGTAGGTAGGTAGGGAAATTTTTTTTTTTGCAAATTTTTGTGTGTACGATCATATGGAGGCTTCTGCATGTAGTCCAGGGTAAAAGGCAGAAATTAAATGGTTTTGAGTGTTATTTTCTCAATTTTCCAATAAAAAAAATAGGGTAGGGGGTGTCAGAATAGGGTAGGTAGGGAACCGGAAGCAGAACTACTTTTTTTTTTGCCTTAGCTGTAGTGCGCATGTGGCACTTATTGCATGCATGTGGCATGGAGCACAGGGTCACACAACTCTGCAGTTACAGCGGTTTCAAACCACTAATGTGACAGGCTCCCAACCAAAAGGAGTCCACAGGTAAACTGTCCCAGGTATTGACGAATAGCAGTATTTCATTCTGTTCTCTCGGTTTTCATCAATGTGAATGCCAGCTCCAGAACATTGTACTAATGCTCTACCAACTGAGCTATCCAGCCTTATTGTGGCAGTCTGCTATTTCATAATGTTGTAAATGGGGCTACAGTCGGAAGCCATAAAGCCGTGTGATACCGGTATGTAGCCAGAGATCACTCTCAAAGTCAAATGCTAGTAACATTAACAATGTCTGCAAACCTGGGAAATACAAATGTAGCAAACAGGTATCACTCAGAGAGGAAACGGCTTATTTATCGGCTTTCCCAGCTATTTAATACATTTTCAATTCCAGTTCACCAACTCTTCTCTTTAAATTCATCTTAGAAAAATTTCAGCTGCTTTTGACAATATCAATTCAAATTTCAGATTAGTTTCAAAATTTGGTCAACCTATTTATTCAACATTTAAGCACTACATGTACATGTACGTCAAGAGTATTGAATTTGTAACAACTGTTGCCAAATGGCAGCTTTCAGAGATTGAATTTGTCTGATATCAATCACCTTCAATCATTAAATTACATGTAGTCTGGTGTGTGTTCAAGCATTGTCCTTGTGTAACTTTAAACATAAGAAAAAAAAGTGACAAGGAAACCTAAAAGAGCAATCATGTATTGCAATGATTTTAACGGGTTCCGACTAATCAACAGAGTTCTTGGTCGATACAAATGTACACAATTTTTCCTTAAAAATACCTGAGACAGTTTACCCATTCCTATTTGTCGAGAGCCTATCACGTGAATGGTTTTAAACGGTTGCTAAAACACCAACTGGTTTTAAACACTTTTTTCCGCGGAGTAACATGAATTTAGACTCCTACAAAATCTAGTCCCTTTTACCCTTTCTTCATAAAGGCATGCCCAATACTACCAATGAGTCCGTATTTTATGTCCTAAATTCACTACTGCATTCTGCGCCACATCATGCTGCATGCACCAGGTGCATGCCAATCTCCATACAAGGATATTTTTAGTATGACTCACAAGAGCCACATACCATAACCATAGCTAGAGGGGTGTTTCACAAAACATGAATCATTGGAAATCTATGCTATTTGACTTGTTTTGACTTTCTGACCGAAAGTTTTATGAATGGGAATATATATATATGCGCTTGGCTGGTATTAAACAAGAATGTTTAAACCCGGCTTGGGGCCTGGTTGCCGCGTGAAAGCCCCGAGCCGGTACATATATATACCTAGGTATACATGTAGGTATATATAGCAAATAGGTTAATATATCAAATGTGGGGATGCTGTAGAGCATAGAAAATGAGAATAGCAAAAGTGAAACAGTGCTCAACTTTATCTGGGGAATTATGGCTTGTCAGGGGAATTATATGCTGCGAGCACAATTCCCAAAACCAATACAACAGGCACATGTGGTGTTGATAGTAATCACAAGCCATAACTCCTCTGATGAAGGTGTATCGCACCGAAAGCTCGGGTACAACTATCTGGCATGTCTGGTGAGCACTGTTTCACTTTTGCTATACTCATTATGTATACTATATATACATTTCCTTACCCTAACGGAACAACAGGAACCTCAGTGCCATTCAATGTAGCGATCCTTGTTTTGCCGATTAAGACAACTGTATCTGAAGAAAGATTCATGTTAATAGTTTAGACAAAAAAATTGACATGCCCAAGAGATAGTGTCCAGTTTATGTAGGAAAAAAGTTAGCTTTCATGGCCGTTTGCATTGGAAATGTTTCTTAACCCAACGTTCTTATTAGGTGATAGGCCTTCAATAGGTGTTGGGCCTTCAGCCCAAAATCTCATCTTAGAAAGGATTGACTCTACACCAAACAACCTTCAAAATTGAAATTAATGCGTCTCACGTTAAACGCATCGACTGCAGTCCTAATTTAAATCTCCCAAATAGTCTGATACATGTATTTAAATTACACAATTCCAGGGGGTTAAGATCGCACAAGGCATGATGAGAACCAACATTGCGTAGCAAGATCGTATACCCATGGGAAATGAGGTTGGCTTTGAATCGCTTCAGGTCGGAATGGTCAGACCCCTTAATATTTTGGTCTGGCAACAAGAACCTACTGCTGACATAGTTTTGTACACAACTCAGTTGGCTTGATAAATGCACAGTTGTGCACATCCTCAAGTGCACCAAAAATCTCTCTTTTTATCTGGTTCAACTTGATCATTTTGTCATTTTGCATGGATCCTCTGCTGTACAAATGATTGATCTCCTGTGTTTGGATGCGATCATTAAAATATCAACCCTACAAGTAAAATCTTAGCACATATAAAGCCAGCTCTACTGGCGAATCTCTCATGTCATGAGCCTGAGCTGGGTGTTCCAAGCTGGGTCTAGTCTAGCTTGGAATACCCAGCTCTCAGGCTCATGATTTGCCATTTAGAGCTGGGACGAGGTCCATGACGAGGTCCATGAATTAGCCAGCGGATTTGACATTTTCCATAAAAAATGCCCCCAAAACACACACCAAACTACCAAATAAGCCACTTACAGATCAAGTACAGATTAGGTAGGCCTAGTTTATGCGTTTAAAACAACTTTTACACAACTTCAGTTTATATGCTGAAGATGTTCACTGTCACCATTTGTACTATTTTATAAGCTAATTCCGGTCCTTAACTAAAGTGCGTGCAACAAGCGTCAACTGGCATCAATAAGCATGAACTGTCGTCAACCCAGCGATAACAAATGTTGTATAAGTTTTAGAATAGCAAAAACAGCTTTATATGGTAGAAATAGCACAAAGAACACCTTCAGCGTATACATTCAAGTTAAAATTATTTCAAAAGTTGTTTTTTCAACACGAAATGTACGACGACCTTGTCGCGGTCCTTCTAAAATGTGTCAAAAAGCGTCAATGGTCGTCAACCCAGCGTCAACAAATTTTGTATAAGTTTTGGAACATTAAAAACAGCTTTATATGTTAGAAAAAGCAACAAAGAACACCTTCAGCATTATAAATTAAAGTTAAAATTATTTTAAAAATTGTTTTTGTCAACGTGAAACATACAACGACTTTGTCGAGTTTGTGTTGGCCGCTAGCCATACTACACATGGGTGAAGTGTACAGCACCATCGAGCGCCATCCAAACAAGATGGCAGCCAACACTAATCGACAAATTCGTCGTACAACATACGTTTCGCGTTCAAAAAACAACTTTTAAAATCATTTGAACTTTATTTCATATGCTGAAGCCCCTTAGGCACTATTTCTGCCATATACATGTAAAGTGTCTTTTGATGTTCCAAAACTGATACAAAATTTGTTGACGCTGGGTTGACGACCGTTCACGCTTGTTGACGCATTTTATTTTTAGTATCCTCGACCCTCCATAATCTCAAGGGCGGATCCAGAACACAATTTGGGGGGGGCCCAAAAAAAATTTTGGTCCCCCCCCCCAAAAAAAGTGGGTCAAAAAAATTACGGCGTGGGGTTCGGGGCCCGCTTAAGGGCCCCGAAAAGTTTTTGGATTCTAGATGCTCTGTGGTGCGATCTGAGGCAATTTCTGAACACTTTAACCAATGTTTTTTTCTGTTTTGTTTTTGTTTTTTTGAGGAAAAGATGGTGGTGTACTCATTGCCTGCCTTTATTGCGATGTCACATAAAAAAAAAAAATAATAATCTGCGCAGGTAACGCTTGCAACGCGCGCGCTCGCGTTGTCACACACAAATTGAAATGTGAGTGCGTAGAAAAAGGACCACGTAGATTTAGGGGGTCTGACGATACTAGTACTTAATAGTAGGACCCCTTCGCCAGTTCAGTCATGTGGTTGCTAAGGCAAAGCGTCTGGTGTTGTTAGGCAAAGCTAATCCGATTACGTACTCAGACTAGTATAATAAAGCACTGAAATCCATGCACCCCAAAAAAACATGGCCTTTTGAACGTTGTGTTTCTCAGAAAATATGGTCAGTATGATTGAAATGTTAAATTATAACAGAAGACGACATTCTAAACTGCATGTCAGTGAAAAAATCATCGATGCCGAAATGTCAACTCGTTCTCACGAATTAGTAACGCGTTCCCGGATGCACGAGTTAGCAATTCGTTCCCACGAATTAGGAAATCGTGCAAATGAAATAGCAATTCGTGGGAACGAATTAACAATTTGTGCGAACGAAATAGCAATTCGTGCGAACGAATAGCAATTCATGCGAACGAGTTAGCAATTCGTGCGAACGAATTAATAAGTCGTGGGACCAAATTACAAACAAACAAAATTCCACCCTGTCCCTTCCCGGGCTTCATACTAGTAGTAGGCCTATGTTCCTAACTCGTGGAGGAAGGATGTGTTTCTTCCTGGGGAAAGATTTCCATATACGAAGTTCACTCAACACTCTGTGTACAAACCCTATGAGAGTGGACTGAAAAATTCTAAGTGTTTTCTAAGAAAATGCTTGTATTTTCTCACTGCTCAAATTGACTTTGATGACATGAAATTGCTATCTGGGGGCTTGTTAGTCAATACAGAGGAAAATTAGAGAACTTCGCATATGGTAATCTTGCCCTGGACGGTTAGTGAATGACAGTGTAAAGCATCCTGTAAAATCATGGCACCTGGTATACTGTCATTTTCAAGAAAAGTGGTATTTTTGTATCAATTTCCAACGCTGGTCGGCCGACCAGCGTTGGAAAAAAACTGGCTTTTTTCAAATACTGGCCCCAATTGACCATCGCACTTGTTTGCAATCGATTACACACTTATGAACGGGTACAAGCCAGCTAGACTGGTTCCCTGACCTTACAATTCCCCAATGTATGTAAACTGCTCTGTTTCTTCTTATATGGAGTCAGGGAACCAGACTACAGGAAAATGATTGCTTTTTTCTAGCTGGAGTTACCCAGCCCTGAGTTTTATCATTGGGTTGTCATCTAGGGCTGGAGCGCATTTTTCTCAAAACTTGTAGTATTTGCAAAAAAAATTTGGAAAATGTTCAATTTTGTCCCCGTTACACACTAATTCCAACTGCAACTCACCCCAAACTTGCCTGGAATAACCATTACACAGGTCCTTGAAGTAAAAAACGATCCACGATGAAGATTCAGCCTACAATTGCAGTGAAAACAGGAGGAATAACCGCTAACTTGACAACCTTGCTGGATTGACCAGGACCGCTATTGGTTTGTGCACAAAAAAAATTGTGTACAATGAATGGCGGTCGATTAACAGGCACAGAGAGCGATCGCTGTCAACTACTCGTTTTTGCCGGCTGCGCTGGCTGTTGGCGCGTGACGTCACGCGGAAGCGTAACACCCGATGACTGTTTCATGCACTAATATAAGGTTTACCACTCGCATCAAAGCTTTGGTACTGGAACCGCAACCAATAGTGCATGAAACAGTCATCGGGTGTTACGCTTCCGCGTGACGTCATGCGCCAACAGCCAGCGCAGCCGGCTAAAACGAGTAGTTGACAGCGATCGCTCTCTGTGCCTGTTAATCGACCGCCATTCATTGTACACAATTTTTTTTGTGCACAAACCAATAGCGGTCCTGGCCAATCCAGCAAGGTTGTCAAGTTAGCGGTTATTCCTCCTGTTTTCACTGCAATTGTAGGCTGAATCTTCATCGTGGATCGTTTTTTACTTCAAGGACCTGTGTAATGGTTATTCCAGGCAAGTTTGGGGTGAGTTGCAGTTGGAATTAGTGTGTAACGGGGACAAAATTGAACATTTTCCAAATTTTTTTTGCAAATACTACAAGTTTTGAGAAAAATGCGCTCCAGCCCTAGATGACAACCCAATGATAAAACTCTGGGCTGGGTAACTCCAGCTAGCTTTTTTCTTGGTTTTAAAAATTATACTAAATTACTATAGCATTTTCGAACCCAAAACCTCAAAAAAGTCAGTGTAACTATATTTGCTATATATTTCCAACCCCCCAATTCCATCCATTTATGAAAATTACAGCAAAAGCAAATGATGTATATTCCCTTTAACTATTCTAAAGTTACAACAACCACGTACCAAATGGAAATGACCAGATCAGGCCTGAGTGACAATTCTACCTCCATGCAATGAGTGATCTGAGACAAATTCATGACATCTTCAAAGCTACAAGCGCCCTCTATTGTTCAAGTCCACTTCGATCCAAATTTCGCTCGTCAGGGACGCCCTAATATTTTAGTCCAGGCCGAATACTTCATTTTTTGAGTGAACCTCAAACAAATTGCAACATATTTTTTTTGACCACAGTGCATTTCTATAAGGTCCCTTAAATGACATACTAAAAGTCCAAAAAAATCCAAGTGGTGGTGCCTAATTTGCATAAATCCAAAATGGCTGAAAATTTTAGGACTTTCACATTGATTTTGTCATATTTCTCATACTCGATAGCTTTTTGAGGTACTTAAAAAAACGATAATTTTAGTCTGTTTACATTGATTTCATCATTATTCTAGTCCTAGGTAACTTTAAAGATCCCCATGTTTCCCAAATTTTCCAAATGCCGTATATTAATTTGCATAAATGCCATATATTAATTCGCATAAATTAAAGTTAAAATTATGGCTGCCATGTGTGGACATGTCACAGTTCAATTTTCCCTGATAATCCAAGTTCAGTTATTTATACATAAATATCACGGTGCATTTCTATAAGGCCCCTAAAATAGTCCCAAAAAATCCAAGTGGTGGAAATATGCCTAATTTGCATAAATTCAAAATGACCACTTAAATACATGATTTTCATATTGATTTTGCCATAATTCTCGTCTTACATTGCTTTTTGGGGTGCTTTAAAGGGAATATACAACATTTGCAAACATCAAAAAAACGAAATGATCACATTATCACAAAATACCTTACTGGATTGTTAGGGAATGACAGTCACTAATTAAAAGCATCCTGTAAAATCGTAGCTCCTGGTGTGCTGACATTTTCAAGAACAATTGTACTTCTCCAACGCTGGTCGGCTGACCAGCGTTGGAGAAAACTGGCTTTTTTTCAAAAACTGCTCTTAATTTTTCAAATTTAGTTATTCCGCATTTTCTTTGCAATTGATCACACACCTGTGAAGGAGTTCAAACCTGCTAGACTGATTCTCTTACCTTACAATTCCCCAACGTCTATACATTGCTCTGATTCATCATAAGTGGGGTAAGGGAACCATGCAGACTACAAGAACATGATTGATTTTCTTGGTTTTTCCAGCATCTACCAGCCCAAAACGTGAAACATGAAGTCGGTTATAACATACTAATCCTCCAAATCCATATATTTCTTAAAACTGCAGCAAAAGCAAATGTCGTATATTCCCTTTAAGTACCAATTTGTCTTTTTACATTGATTTCATCATAATGCTAGTCCTGAGTACCTTTCGAGATCCCAATGTTTCCCAAATTTGCCAAATGCCATATAATAATTTGCATAATTTCAAATAAAGTAAAGTAAAGTTACAATTATGGCACACTGATTGTGACCCGTGTTGGGACTTAGGCCATGACAAATGGGTCGCGGGGGAAACTATTCCACAGGTTTCGAACTTTTATTGAGTCTGATATGTATACTGGAGAAGAGGCGAAAGATACGAATTGAGTAATCTTCATTATTCAAGTGGTGAATTCTCGCTAAATCACTTAACTCAAAAATACAAACTACAGAATAGTAAATGAAATGAAACTGTAGCTTAACTTCTATTATTATCTACGAAAGCCCATTAGCGCCACTGCAGGGAAAATATGTTACAGATTATTTAATTCGTTATTACGGATTATTAATTCGTTATTACGGATTATTTAATTCGTTATTACGGATTACTAATTCGTTATTACGGGTTATTAATTCGTTATTACGGATTATTTAATTCGTTATTACGGATTATTAATTCGTTATTACGGATTATTTAATTCGTTATCACGGATTACTAATTCGTTATTACGGATGATTAATTCGTTATTACGGATTATTAATTCGTTATTACGGATTAGTTAATTCGTTATTACGGATTATTAATTCGTTATTACGGATTATTTAATTCGTTATTACGGATTATTAATTCGTTATTACGGATTACTAATTCGTTATTACGGATTATTAATTCGTTATTACGGATTATTAATTCGTTATTACGGATTAGTTAATTCGTTATTACGGATTATTAATTCGTTATTACGGATTACTAATTCGTTATTACGGATTATTAATTCGTTATTACGGATTATTAATTCGTTATTACGGATTAGTTAATTCGTTATTACGGATTATTAATTCGTTATTACGGATTATTTATTTCGTTATTACGGATTACATTTTTTTCCAAGAGGGGGAAAAACATATTTCTCAACATAATTTTTTTTAGAGGGGACAGGGACATTTCCCCCCTCCAACCCATTAAATTTACAGCAATGTTACATCGCGCCTCTTTTTCTTTCCTTTTTTTTCTCTTTGTTTTCCTTGGGGGGGGGGCAAGCCCCTCCTCGCGTCGCCCATGTCTAAAGCCTTCTATGCAGTTGTATCATTGTTGCGGCTGCCAACAGAAAAAAATGGGAAACGGATGTTAGAGGTCACTCCAATGTCTTTTGGGTCTGAATTTATATCATGAGTGTAGAATAATAGTTTCAATATCCTTCCTTTGCACAACTGTGACTTTGTTCACGAAAAGCTGGCGTTTTGAAGAATATAAATGATAAATAGTGATAAATTTGTATACAACGTTAATTGACCCATCCCAGGGTACCAGAGGTCTGATATGCTCTTCCCACATCTGAAATTATTTGAATGGAAACCCAAATATCTGTTGTACGTGTGTGAAGTTTCAATTCAACCTGTTAAAATGATTTGTTGTCATGGTCATTAAAAAGTCGGCACTCTCGATCTCATGCGCACTCTCATGTAAATTAAACATGGTCAATGTGATAGGAAAAGTTCACATTTAAGTCAACCTGTTTTGGTAAATGGACATTTTGCGACGAGAGTATGCCCTATTAAATTTTACGTAAACTTTGGGAAACATAGGGATCTTGAAATTTACCTAGGACTAGAATAATGATGAAATCAATGTAAAAGGACTAAAATTGTTGTTTGAAGTTCCTCAAGAAGCTATCTCAGTATGAGAAAAATGACCAAAGCAATGTAAAAGTCCTAAAATATGCAGCCATTTTGGATTTATGCAAATTAGTCATATTTCCACCACTTGGTGGACTTGTAGTATGTCATTAAAGGGACTTACAGAAATGCACTGTTGCAAAAATTCTGTTGCAATTTGTTTGAGGTCAACCCTTATTTTGCCTGGACTATAACCTTCGTTCGTACCCCCCGCCCTGCAAACTGTTTGCAGGGCGGGGGTACGAGCGAACGCCCTAACCCTGTTTGCAGGGCGGTGGGTACCGTTGTCATATGAAAATCGGACTGGTATGAAAATCGGACTCTTTTTCCCTTTTATTGGTTAAACCCTCTCACGTGACCGGTCCCCCTCCTAATTATCTATGCATGAGCATGCGCAATATCACCAAACTAGTCTCCTCGAAAGTACAATTAGTGCCCCCTGGCAAAATTAAAATAGTGCCCCCTCTCAAGATGGAAAATTAAGCTGGCCCCTTAAAAATAAATGTGCTCTTCACGCGAATAAAGTGGTCATCACTCGAACTATGCTATCAAAAGCAACAGTCACTGTGCCCTCAGCTCTGCGCGTGGTAAAAAAAAAATGGTCTCTCTATACGGTAACTAGGTAAAAGAAACCCAAAGAGCAAGATGGACAATTCATAATTTGTTCCTAGCCTCGTCATTAAGGTTTATATAGCGAAATGAACGGGACCATATTCTTTCTCTTCCTCCACTTTCACGCCGACGAAAGGTGCCCCTTTTTCTGAGCAAGTGCCCCTTTTCATGTTGCCCCCAGTTTGAAAAGCGTTCCGCCGCCCTGCTTCACAGCCAATCAGTTAAGAAAAATGGATATTGGGGGGTTTTTTTTAGGCGGAGTGGACGTCATACACGTTGGAAAAAACACCACCAAGTACACTATATAAATCCATTACTTGATATTGCTGTATCTAATCATGATACAGGAAGCAAGTTTCCCACCCAGGGGTTACTATTGGAAACGAGGTCGAAAACAAAGTAACTCCTGGGCGGGGACGAGGTTAAATAACACACCTACGATTTCAAGATCTTGGTTTCGTTCTCGAATTTCAGCATAATAAATATCACTTGCAAATATAAAAAAATATATATTTCATTTGCTAAATTTAAAAAAACAAACATAAAAAACCGAATCCACTCTGCTGATTGGATATTGTGATTGGATACCACCGTGAAGCCACTTTTGGTTTATGGAGAATCCTTCCTCCATGGTTCCAGTTCAATAAACATAAAGAACCACCTCCTCGATCCTCGCGTATTTATGCAATATGCATGATGCGGCTGCCTGCGAAACTGCCGCGCGCGCTGCAACCAACCTTATTGAATGTCTGAACCGGTGTCACATGAAAATCCGACTCCTATGAAAATCGGACCCCTATTTCCCTATTATTGGTTGATCCCTCGCACGTGACAGGTCACTCTCCCGAAACGATCCTAAAACTAGCGTAGTATCGTACTCACGCGTGCGCAGTACTACCAATGAGTCCACATTTCATGGAGTCGGATATTCACGCTACACCGGTACTGAAACTTGGGAGCGCACGTCATCACAGTTCGGCAGATTACTATTAATTTTCGCTACATCTCTTCTCCGTACGGCCCCACCCGTGTATATGTCAAGCTGACTCGCCCATCGAGATACACTTACTTGCAGTTCCATCGAATGTAAATTGGTCAATAACAATTGTCTTGTTGTTGGCAGCAAACACTGCGCCTGATACGCCATGGGTCGATCGACTTCCAAACTCTCCAATCATTTTTCCATATTTGGCGCCGATGATCGATGGGATCATAGCTGGGAAATAACAATCGAAAGATATAGGACTATAAACTGGACTACTAGTTTCAAAAATACAATCGATTTCTGATTTTGTTTAAAATGAAAACGGTTAACGGCAGACCATCACAAGACACTGGAAATGCACACTCATGGTTGGGTTACACGGAGGGCGAAAGAAAAGGGGCATCAAAAGTGGAAAGAAATGAGAAAGGAGACAGATCATGCTATTTGGTGTATAGGCCGGTGACTGCTCTATGTTCCGACACCCCTATGTCCCGACAACCCGCGCATAAGATTGTGTTACTCCCGGTTAGGGTTAGGGTTAGGAATAGGAATATGTGCAGTCGGAACATAGGGGTGTCGGAACATAGAGGTGTAACCTATAGGCCTAACCCACATTCTGCATCATGTCACAGGTGGCTCCTCCTTGCCTTAGCTAAGAAAACCGTCATTCGCGAGTAACATTTTCTTATGAGCAGGAATACATGTATATCTTTCTTGCATAATATCTGCCCGGCCTTGCATTTGACTGTGTGCACCATTGTACGGTACGGGTGTTGCAAATTGCAATGAAAAGCTTTTGCAGTTGAAAGGTTTTTAAGTGCTGATATCTCTAGCTGTATCCCTTTTTATTCGCCCCGGGGGCCCTTTTATTTGTATGCAGTACTAGAGTGAATACACAAGAAAGCTTGGTGCTGCGCTTTCTAGCTAGCCAGGCGTACACAATGGAAAACGAACACGCTTTGGGAATTGGCAAGTCCCACAACAATACTATTTTCAAGCCGTTTAGTCGGTGAGGCAATGTATCTGTGTCCGAAACGTTAAAATGAAAACAATAAATTTAAACAAATGGAAAACGGCCAAAGACTTGATTCTCAAACTAATTCATCACGACAAAACCGTCTGGGGAGTTTAAATGAAAATGGACGTCAGTATAGATTATGTTTAACTATGATAATTACCTGAGAAAACAATGAATCTTATCCACGATTTCGACATATTCCAATGCTTAGGTTCCAATTGATAAAGCTAGAAAGAGAAATTGTGATAAACCTGCAATGAAATAACCATTCTTGTCAATAATCGATACGTTCAGGCACTGCACTAACCTATTTTTTTCTCGCAAGGCCAGAGAGTCAAGAAAAATTCTCTCAAACCTTGCCGACATTGAGTAAGTTGCAACGGCGTATTCATTTTTTTTAATACGGGGGTGGGGCAAATTAAGACTTTACTGTATCTACGTCTGAAACGTCTTTAAAAAATACTTTTGGTTTTGTTTTATGACGCTATCAAAATGCCGGCAGGAGGTAAGTTGGTTCTGAGAAAGGAACATAGCTTTTCTCATAAAAACGTCAAAAGATACTTTACTTTAACAAAAATTAATCCGAAAGACAAAGCAAACATTGTCTCAAACTAACCTTTTACCCAGCCGCCGGTTGTCTGCCTCTTTAGTCTAGGATGAAGACCGCAACAGTAACAGCTGGCAGGCAGCGTTTAGGATATAGGCCTACGTTCTTTTCTACGTCGTGACCGATGAAGATTTCAATCTGCAATTTGATTGGCCACCAGGTGGACCTTTATTTGTTTTGTTTTATATGGAGGGAGTATCTGGGATCTAACTCCGGAGCTGTTGATTGGCTAGAGGTGGTATTAATTATAATAATTATTTTCACACAATCACGCAGCAGCACTGTGGGGAGGGTACAGCCGGGGCAAGTTTTGCGGTGCGGTATGGTGGTGTTCAGCCCTAATTTCTTTTATCCATTTAATCGACACCCGCGCCTAACTTCAGAGGAAGAAATAACTTGATTAGTGATCCAACCTTAATAGAATCTTGGACCGTGGATATGCTTCAGGCATGGAGCTAAGACAACTTAATCATTTCGGCGACAACAATAGAAAGAGGTCGGATTTAAATGTGCATTTTCTTATGGCAAACCAAGTGGGCACAAGGGCAACCAAGCTTCCATACATACATCCTTCCCCATCCACCAAAACGTATTGCGTATCCCCTTGTAATGAAGCAGCACGTGGGTTACAGGTATATGATGAAAATGCCCCAATTTCTAAGAGCTCTTTACACATAACTACCCTTCTACAAAGCAGGATATGATATGCAATGAAAAAGGGGGTCGGTTTGTAATACTACAGACCGACTGCTTGAGGACATTATATAAAGTCACTACCAAAAACACTGATTCAAATGCAATTAGAGTTCGTTTATTCAGCTGGATCTTTTAACTACCAAGACTTTAGCACTCGGCAAGCACGAGAGGTTCCCTTAATTGCCATCACACAGAAATTCACCATGGTCACAGAAATTCACCATGGTCACCATGGTCATTTTTATTTCATTTAATTTTACTGAGTGACAATACGTAAAAGGATTTCCATATTCTGATACTAACCTAGAAATGAGCTCCTGGTAAGATCTATGGACTAATCTTTTTTCAACTTGTTAATTTTATCACACAAACGCCAGTATGAAACCATACAATATATATGTGCATATAGAGTGCTGTTGTACCAAATGTAACCAATCAATATGCATTTGCAATGACCGATTGATTGATGCAACATTTACTTAATTTATCAATGATTTCAAATGAATTTTCAGACCATTACATTAAACCCTACACCTGTCAGTTGCTTTAAACATTACAAATTTGTACTGCAGTACATGAAGTCATGCAGTGTTTTACCAGAATCCTGGGTCCACCCTCCATGCTTGTTCAGACTTAGGAAACTGCAATAGAGGTGTCAGCATTTCTAAGCCAAAGATGAAACAATGAGCACGCCCTCAAATATTTTAGTTCGCTGTAAATTTTGCTATCCTATTACAATAATAAACTGCAATAAGTTATATGTTTACTGCCAACACTTTTTGGTCAACTTTTAATACACAACACATGTACGGGACACACAAAATGTATAGCATCAGCATGCTTCCTCAAAATACTTCAAAAGAGCTTCAGATTTTGCTGCTATTTCACAAATTAAGGGCACTTCTTACATCACTTGAAAGCAAAGGTGAAGTAACTTTTAAAATGTCAACAACAGATGTTTCAATACAACATTTAACTGTACCGAAATGAATTCTGTGAATGAAGATTGATACCTTCACACTTATGTTGCAAATTTTGATTCCCACAAAATTAAGAGACTAAATGGATAATAGACAGCATCACTTTTTCTCTGGGGGCTTATCATCTTTCTTCTTCTCCTCTGTCTGGGGTTGCTGGGTGAGTGTTCCCATGGCGTCACGGACTGCCTCACTAGAGATGTCCACTCCAGGGAGATTCTCCATGACACTCTGGAGGAATGCTGGGTCTGACATCAACTCGGAGAAATCCTCATTCTCCCCTTCAGCCTGATCAGAAAAGAGGACAAGAATCCATACACTGTGTTAATATTCATACAAAACACATGTACGTTATAAACCCCCCAAAAATAGGAGAGAGGTTCAAGTATTTTTCTTAATAAACTGTTTCCAAATAAATATTTCTCTGTCAAGAAAACTTTCCTTTTCATGATTTACTCAATTAACTTAAGTCAATTTTAATGTTTTTGTTCAGTTCTGATGGTCACTTTGTTGCTAATGCCTTTCTGCTGACAGACCACAATCATTTCAAAGTTATGTAAAAACAAAAACAAAAAAGTAACCAATCTCAGCGAAGAAACGGATTGGATATGTATCACTCGTCTTTTCAAACTTCTTCTCAACATTGAAGAAATTAAAATAATGTGAAGTGGAGTTGCCACTTGCATCTTAACACCAACTGACAAAGTGGTATAATACTGTGAGTAGAGGATCAGAATTGTGGGCAGGGGAACAACAGCATAATGAGTGCACCCTCAAAAGTACATACAGACCAATCCTATGATAAATCAAGTGAGATTTAAAGTAGGATCCCACCACATGAGGAGACACAACCACAGCTTAATCAAGTTTCATTGTTTTGATTGACCTAAAAGTTTGGGTCAGTTAAGATATGAAGTGAAACGGAGTTCAGTTTGGGACATTGTGTAGGGGAAGGGGAGGGGGAGGGGCGTTACCTTAGAGTCACCACCCTCCATGCTGGCTGGTGTGTCTGTCTCCATGGGAATCTCACTGGCTGCACTATCACTCATCAGTCCAGACAGCCCTGGACAAGACAAGACAAAACATTAAAACCAACATCAACTTGTCCTTCAATTATATCTGAAACCTTAGACTAGAAACCTAACAATTGCCCTCTGGGAGTTTGTACTTAATTAGTGGGGCCTTAACCAATTCACTCCGGGATTTTTTTACAAGAACGGAACGAGGAGCGGGACTACTTTTCACTTGACCTCAAGCCAGGTGGGTTGAAGCCATCACCCTCGGGCAGCACACTCATATTTCCGGCCTCGCTCGCTGACAGATATTTCCGGCCTCGCTCCCTGCATGTTTATCTGTCATTCGTTCCAAATACCGCAAAACTTGTGCGTGTATACACGGCTTTCAGCGCAAACTGGTTAAGCAGTAGAATATGTATTCCTGGGTCCAGCATTTCTGAAGGTGATCAGCGCATAATTAGTGATTACCCAACAGCTCCTATCAGAAGAAGTGGATCTTCTTCCCATTCATAAGCAATTATATCATTCCATGGTGTTATTGCAAACCATCCAAAGTGTACTTCTCCACCATGCAAACTTTACGTCTTAGTCAAATAAGATGACATGTCACAAATTGACTATACTATTATGATTCAATCATTGAATATCTGCCTTAAAGCATACAATTCTAAGTCCATGTTTGACATACTGTATGCAATGAGTTAAATACCTTGGTCTGAACACTGCCTTGATCTCTACCATTGAGTTACGAACATCAAGTAAACTTTTTGTCTGAAAGAACTTAATTAAAATATTTTCAAGCCCAAACACAGTACGTGCCCTGTTCATGATTACTTGTGAACTCAGACAATCAGGTGCAGTGAAATAGAATAATCACTGAGCATTGGCACAAATGAAATCCCATGAGGCTGTCAGGCCATCCTCTTTCCTAATTATTATGTCTAGATTTCAGTCTTTGTATTGTGATTATGGAAATAACTGCCCTAAATAGGCAGAATTAGAACAATGCACAATCAGTACTAAGAAACTGAATCTGCTCTTTGTCTCCAGGAGATGCATTTCAAGCCATCAGCTTGTTTCACTCAAATAGTTAAGTTGTACCTGAGCTTTGTGTGAGCGACATCTGCATGGCAAATGCAATCTGTTCCTCCTCTGACATGGCGCTGAGGTCCGGCATGGGTGTCTCCATGGCACTAGGAGCGTCTGGCTCCATGGACATAGCCAGAGCCTGCTCCAGTAATGCTTCCTCAGAATCTGCTTAAGGGAATCACACAAGGATATCTGTTATTTACCCTAACCCAGCCAGACGCAATACAGTGCATCAGGTGTAAATGTTTGTGGGAACTTGCTTCCACTTTAACAGGCAAAGTAAACCCCGGTTAAGCACCTGGTTTCATGGGACATCAATCCCAACATCAACTAATAGTGGGCGAGTTCTAGCCTCTTCAATCCTCCAAAACCCTCCAAATATTCCTGGTGGTCTTTAAAGGATCCAGGAGGGTTAGTCTGTCTTGTTAGCTAACACTGACTCTCTTAACCCAAAGTTTGTTTTATTTTTTATTAACCCTGAGTTCTTGGACAATTTTTTTATTTTTTATTTCAATGAATTAGTCTTTGCGTAAGCTGAATCATTAAGACTTCAAGTCCAGATTGACGTTCACTACCCTACTGGACAGTGTATTTATGAATAATTTGGCAATCAATTAAATCAATAAAAGATAAATTAAATGCAAAAAAGCAACTTGTCTGACTGATCTGCATTTCAAATAATGCAGGCGCGGTTCTAGAGCCAATATTTTTTTTTGGGGGGGGGGGGGCTAGCAGGGCGGATCCAGAATATTTTTTCAGGGAGGCGTGCTGAAATGTAGACCGGTTATTTTCTCCAGACACTTAGGCCTCCGAAAAATCAATATATTTTCAATGGGAAGCGCCAATAAAATCCTAAAATCAGGCACACTATATTAACTACAAATGCACCCTTGTCACGACTATTTCTCTAAGGGGAGACCGTTCGCATGTACGTCACATTCCTTCTTTTTGCTAATGCAATTTTTTTGGGGGGGGGGGGGGGGCTAGACAAAATTTACCCCACGTAGAACCGCCACTGAAATAATGGCATGGCCACAACGTTTACTTGTTAATTCAGTTTGCCACTGTGATACTAACTTGGTGCATTAGCAGGCTTAGGTGTAGCCTCCGTGGCAGATGACTCAGATGGTTGGGAGGGATCTTCTTGTCTCTGTCTTTGCTCCTCCATGGATATACGCAAAGCCTGTACAGTGTACAAAAAAAAAGTGCGAAAAAAAGTTGCAGGGATTGATTTTTTTCTTAAGATGAAATTTGGTTTGCGGTATGTGTAAATTCAATGTTGGGTTTTGACCTTCACCGACATTTTATAAGGCCAAACAAAAAAATACCTTTGGTTTGGGTCACCCGACCGACCCTATTGTGGAAAGCGATAAAATGTGACCCCACACAATTTTATTGGTTACTTGGGAAAAAAATATTACGATACTGACTTCCGATCAAAATTGGTCAAAAACGCCAAACGCCAGAACAATTTATAGTCATTTATTTATAGTCATTGTACCAAGACCGCTTGGATCCTTTGTCACATTATCGTCAGTGCATCACAGTCCAAAAAAGTTGGGTCTGTGTGTCTCATGATCCTCCGTACGTACACACGTGTGTTCAAGCAGCACGGTATTGCGTGCCAGGGGGAATCCCCACGGCAATGTCTGTGCCCAACAAGCAACTCTATCGGTTGACCGCCAGTTACACGGCCGCACAGACTTTCGAGCCTAGGGACGCCATGCATCGTGGAAACCATGTGAACCGAACCAAAGGTATACTCAATGTTGTCCTGGTAACAGTGAAAAAAAATTACAAACTGTTCGGGTGAGACTTGAACCCATGACCTCCTGCACACTAGTGCAGAGGTCTTACCACTCAACCATCGAGTTACAGGGATCAGCTGGGTGGTTCGAGTCTGATATAGCAGTCGGTGGGTACCGCAACTAAACTGTTCAATTTTTGATTTTGTTCCTACAAAATCTTACTACAGGATGATTCTGCTGAAATGAACCTTTACAATGTTTATTTACAGGTTAATTCAGTAAGCAATTGCAAAAGTTATTGAATTCTTATTATATAAACAAAGGCTTTTTATAGACCAATCCCCTTACCATAACCAATCAGAAGCCTTTATTGAGGTGGTACCATGTACGATTGTACGTACACAACTCACACATGAGCTCTCAATGCATCTTCAACCAATAGGGTTCCATGAATCCACATGCGCCTATGCTTAAGAATGTGTTATGTTCCTACTTCAGTAATGTTTTCTAATTGGGATTGGTGGAATCAGCCTACAGAACAATTTCTTTGCTTTTACCATGGCCAGTTCTGGATCTGTGGAGGGATCAAAACCAAACTCAAATTCTCCCCCTGTGCCAGGCAGGCCGGGCACAGCTCCTGTACCATCCTCACCAACGATGACAGGGGAGTTCATCAGGGCATCTGAGAGCAGTGTTCCTGGTGGGATGGTCACCAGGTGACACCTGTCATTAGATCAAATGGTATGAGTACAAATTAGTGAGCTGTCATAGCCTCATGGGCATGCGCAATGCACATAATTCTTTGTGGGTATTTCTGTGGATACTGGATTTTTAGTCCAGCCTCGGGTTATGGTGCATGTGTCCTTGGGCAAGCCATTTTGTCACTCACATGTGCACTCATCTCATATATATGACTTGAAGCTTTGCATGGCGGAAGAGATAAAATAGAAAAATTGCAGGTAACACCATGTGAATCTCTTCTTGGAAGAAGTGTGTGTGGGAGGGGGGGGGGGTAAGGAGGGAATTTAACATGGAGAATTCATTCGGAAATACAAAACAGAATATGCCCTTGGTTTGACCCCCCTAATATTTTGTAAAGACTACCTTTTTCATGTGTCTACAATCCAGCATAGATGTGCAAGAGCCCTTTTCAACAAATTTCCCCACCCCCCCCCCCCCGAAAAAAAAAAATTAAAAGACCTTGCTTCGCTGCTGAGATGTTTTGAAGAATTGAGGAAAGCAAGACAGAAAATGTTACTCTACCATGGTTTGGTACTCCATAATAGTTAAAGTGGACAGAATATGCCCTTGGTTTACTGCACAGTGATGGATTTTGCAGGGTTGTGGAAGGTTCCTAGCAAAAATGCCTAGGGAGTAGGGCCAGTCATCAAGAACAACTCTCTTGGGACAAGTTTTTGTACATTTGAATAATTAAATAAACCACAATGGTTTATTTGACTTGGTTAACGTCAAGTCAATATCTGATGAACAAAGACTTCGATTGGAGTCGGATCTGAACTTGTTACTTCTGGAACACAATACTGATATTGTGTTTTTAAACAAGCCAGTGTTTTAGCAAGTCATTCTGGTACATTTTCCTGGAACTACTTGTATTTATTTTGAAAGCATTTACAATATTGTCTTACAGAAAGAAAATATGTAAAGTGGTCTACACTTACCCTGTGCCATCACTGCCATTGATGGTATCTACAAAAGCTGTCAGTTTCTCTGTGTTGAGTTTCTGTAGACAAAGTACATAAATGAAGCTAAGCCTACTTTGAAAAATTGTACATGCACTTAATAATCTCAATACATGATAACTTCCTTCAAAAACTTAGGGGCATAAAAAAGGCAATCATTGTGTGAAAAATGTCATCCACCTTGGTGCAGAGTCACTTCATCAAAAATACTTTCAGGTCAAATATCTTGAGATGGCCCCATCTTTCCCATGCCAATACAAGAACCGTACGACCCTTATGTAAAGTGTCTGTATTTTTCCCTAGTATATTAAAAATATACTCACATCTTCTCCAAAGTTGACAACGTCCACGTTGACCTTCTCTTTTTTCAATTTCTTTGCTAATTTGACCAGCTGCAACAGGAAATGGAGGGAGAAAAAAAAACTCAGTAGCATTTTTGTTAAAAAAAAGTCTTTGCAGTAAATTTTCAAATGAAGCTGTTGGGAGATGCATCCATAAAGTTTCTCAAACTTGTACTTTCTGTGCTCTGCAATGAATTTGATTTTTTTGTTCTCCTGACAAATTTTGACCTTGGAAAATGTTGATATGAAAAAAGGCTTTTATTTTGGATTGCTTTTATGCACATACAGATCTACCCTTTGAGTGGAATGGTTTCTGGTCCTAACATTATCAGTTTTAAAAGGTTAAGTTTTAAAAGGGTGGCCTTAACCAGTTTACCCTGCGAGAACTGTAGGGCTGAAACGATACACTTATACGATACATATCACATAACTGCCAAACTATAGGATCTATAATCACGATATATCTCAACCTTTAGCCACTCTAGTGCCAGAAATCGACCTCCCTATTACTGATTGTAGCACCCAAAACCATGCTAGCACTCTATGGTTTTATTGATTTTCCAGTGAATAAACACAATGTATTACACAATAAAGTCCAGATGCTAATGGGTTAATTAAAACAATCGTGTTCCATGCTTCCAAAAAAGACAAATGGTAGATAAGCACCGTCGATATGTCGATATTACTCGATTATTCGATATTGTTTTGATATCAATATCGCCAATATCATTTTTTTTAACCATATCGATATATCAAAAATTTCGATATTGAGGAATAATATCGAAAATATGGAGAATTTCGATATTGAGGAATGATATCGACAGTATCAAAATGCATTAGATTATCCTCAAAATAAATCTCCCATTCGTGCTGTTACTTTATGTTTTTTTTACTTTTTGCTGTATAATGGAATAAAAGTCGTTAGCAAATTGTGTTTGTGAGAATAAACATCAGGAGATGCCAAGCGGCGATGCTTTGTGATTTGCATTCACTGGAATTCGTGGTCTCCAATATAACGCAAAACCTCACAAGAAGCTGTCCTTTTTGTTGGCTTGGAGAAGTTCCGTTGGCCGCCGTATATTTTCGCACATTCTCTTGTCTGCAACGTTTGGTGCTTGATGAAACTAATTGATCAAGGGACGAGCAACGTGCTCTGAAAAAAGGCGTGGGAATTGATTTGTTTATTTTGGGTGGTTTGAAGGTGTTCTGTTGTCTAATTTGTTCCCACATATTTCTCGCCGGGTATTCCCCCACCCATCGGCAGTCCTTTAATGTGCACTGTCACCATGGATATACAAATGCCAAGCTACAACATGCCAGTGGGTAGGTAAGGCCCACCTCCGCGCCCACCTAAGTGCCCTCCCCCAATAAATCTGCCAGTGAAAGAATATCGAAGTGGTAGATAAATGTATGCTGATATCCTGATTCAGCTGATCATTCTGCAAACTCCCCCCTCTATTTGCATAAATTTAAAAATTCATGAGTCACTCCAAACCCTTATTTCATTGATAATACCAGAAATGTCATCAGAATTATTTTTAGTTTGTTGTTGCTGAGAATAATTTAATTGAAATGATATAAAGCCAATGGTGATGGTATTTTTGCGTCGTCTTTTAAATTTCGGTGTAGCAAATTTCTTTCTTGAACACTGTGACTAGAAAGTGTACTGTATTTATTGAGTCAAAAAATCTACCACAATGTCATCCTTGATTCCTCATGCAAGCTAAGGGTCGGTGAGTCGCCTCTGGCAGACGCCACCCATCGTGTTTGGGGTTAATGACATAATACATCCCCTGAAAACAAGGAATCACTCTAGCATCCTCTGTACAATCGTGTACCAGGAGGACCACAAAAATTAGTAACAGGTGTAGCATTTCCTTCATATAATTTTTTTGTTTTTTAAATAAATGGATTTATCTTATTCATGGGATAATCGATATATATCGAATATACTCGACATTGGATTTCCGATATATCGATTATTGAAGATTCTTAAATCGACGGAGCTTAATGGTAAATGATTTTCAAAATATGATTAAATGAATAAATAAACAATACACCAAATGCAATCTTATCTTCTCTGTCAACTGCCTGACAGCATTTAGTATTCTCATAAGAGTTGGTACACCTCATCTCATCTAATGACGGATATGTACCACCACAAATTCCCTCAGCAATTTTTCTATTCTCTTAAAAAGATTTCGTACATCGAATGATATGTGGTAAAATCTAACGTGTGACAAAAATTTCCGATACAGAAGATGATGATCGTGGCCGAACAGACTCAGAAAAAACATGACAAACAAGCAAAAAACAGTCTAGTTTAATATCCTAAACTAATGCATACAAAATTATTGTATCCAGTGCAGTGCAGCGACTTTGACAGACCCCCTCAAATGGCGTACCATAGAAATATGTGGGTACATGGTGTGCATAGAGGCTTCCTTCCCGACTCCCGGTACTTGGACAAGTACAAGCAATTAAAAACAAAACCTTGGGGGGGGGGGGGGGCGACACTCAAAAATAGCACAAACACAGTCAGTACATCTAAAATCACAGCAAGTATTTTTTGGGTGGCCTTTTCAGGGTTCATGTACAAATCCACAATAACAAAAGACTGCATACTGGTCTGTGATATGGATCAACTCACCTCCTTTTCATCATTTATAATTGGACTGCCTACAAATGCAATAATTCTCATGCGGTGATTCTTGCCCATCCGATGCTTCAGAGCCAACTGAGGAGGAAAATGATTAAAAGGGTTTGTTCTTGACAAGTACTTGGGAAATATTTATCAAGGTACACAGTGTTTAAGAAAGTGTAGAAATACAAATTTTAAGGAACAGATGGAAGTTTTACTTATAGCAAGTTATGTAGTTAAGTATAGAAGAAGTAGCAAGTAGGCAACTAGGTCATATTTTCTTATTTTCTTGTGGTACAAAAGAGGGTGCTTTTGATGAACTTTACTTGGCATTTTAACAGCAATTTTGTTATGAAATCAGCACTTTATTAAAAGTAAACAAAGAGGAACAATTTTTACAAGGAGTTCTAATGCTCCCGCTTTTTAAATGTAAAGCTCTTAAAAAGTGTGATTCCTTTTTGTCAATAATTGTAACAATGCTGCAAAAAAATAAAATGCAACAAAAATTGAAAGGAAACATGTCACAGACTCAATGTGCTTCGAAATTGTGCTGGGGCCTCGAAAACAAGGATTTATACTTACATGTGCCACACGAATGCCTGTAATGAAATTCAAATCCCCCTTGGGTTGGGTCTGGTGTAGACTAGCCAGAATGCGGGCCACATCAGAAGAAAGGGTTACCAACACCTTGACACTACAGACCAGGACACAAAAAAAGTTCACTATTTCATGGTGAAATCAAATCTGAGAGCAATTCACACTGAAATCAAATACCCGATCATTTCATTATCGGATCATATCATTATTTACATGTAATCATGTTTCATTATGTGATCATTACAGAAATACAAGACAAGTTGCTTATGTACTATTGTTCCATGTCATGGATCAAAACCCCCTTAACACACAGCACAACCTCTTAGATTAAGACTTATGGTATTACCTTTTGAGAAAAAGGGGAGTCACAAAATGACAGGCACTATGTTTGCAGCACAGGTATATGACAACACTCAGTGTATGTACAGTAACTTAGACCACCAAGGACATCTACGTATCACAACATCTTAGCCTATTTAACTCAAAACTTTCTGGAAAGAGGTTCTGCTATGTATTTATATAGAATTACGAACAAGAATGGAATTTTGTTTTCTCAGATTTCATTTGTTCCTGATCTTTTATGGTTGGTTATCAAAATAAAATCTTTGCATATATAAGCCCATACTTGGCAAGAGTTATGAGCCCGACGGTATTCTCCACATTAATGCGTGTCTTAGAGATGCAGATGAGGTTGACAGCATCTTGCTGGGCTTGGATGCGAGTTGGAATGAAGTCTCCATTTCTCATATATTCGCTTGTGTCAACACTGGAAAAAATAGAAAGAAACCAGAATAGGACATTATTATTACTTGATTTCGAAACCTTATACTTCGTACTGATCCATGATGTCATGCTGCAGTGCCATAACTAAAGCCACATAACAAATGTTTGACAGGCATTACAGCATAATTTCTGTCAAAATACTGTTGGTCCAGCAGACTCTCCATGCTGGAAGGAAGCCAGTAGTTTTTTTTTCCTGGTCAGATGGCTCCCTATGGTTTATAGAATAAATGGAGGATTGCTTGATAATGTATAATTAATTGTTTAAGAACTCAAAAGATAGAGGGGTACTAAACTATACTATCACCATTCAAATCCCACGTCGTTGGTTGTTAAGTTTTTCAATGCAATGTAACCTGTCAGTCCAACGTTTCATCTCAAGATGTGCAATGGTGTGAGTGGATTCAAGAAAGTTCCATGACATACTGTAAGTATGTGATTCATTTGTCTTTTTCCCCCAACATTCTTGTATTGAGGTTAAACATATAAATGAAAAGTGGCATCAGGATACTATTGCTGGTCTGAATGCAGTTGTTATAATGTTATAGGTTGGATCTGTAGATCTGCGCGCCATCAAGCAAACACACTGCACTAGGTACTTGGTAGAGTAATCCCATTGCAACCCAATTTGGGCTAAACTGGGATGTCGTGCAGAGGTGACTTCAACAGCCAGATGCAGTCATGTGGTTGCTAAGGCAAAGCGTCTGCCGTTGTTAGGCAAAGCTAATCCGATTACGTACTTAAACGCTATAGCAGAGCAGTGAAATTCATGCACCACAAAAAAATGGCCTTTTGAACGTTGTGTTTCTCAGAAAATATGCACAGAATGATTGAAAAGTTAAATTGTAACGGAAGAAGAAATTCTTAGCTTCAAGTCAGTGAAAATATCACCGTCATCGATGCCGAAACACCAATGCTGGTTACTGGTATAGCTGACCTTCAAGTCTGCAGGAAATCCTTCAAAACTTATATCTATTTCTAGGAATTTCTCAAAATTGTTATTTCACGAGTAGTTGAATATTTATATCTTCTAAGTATATTCCGAATTTCAGCTTAATATGTTGTTGCAAACGCTAGTGCTACAATTTACACCATCTCCATGGACAATTTTGACGACGATTTCTGCCAACCCAAGTTACATGCATTGTTCAGCCAAGCGCCTTAGGTGCTACGGTTGACCGATTTCGGCCAAGCCACACAATATCGTATTGTAAATTAGCGTGTTCATTAGCGTCACTCGGCTTGTTTTGGTGTGGGTCTCAATATCGACCAATGGAAGCCGGCAAAAAGGGTGATATTCTTCAATTAATAACTCGTGAAGGAGGTTTTTCTCAAAATGTTTACTGCACAACATAATGGATAGGAACCTTATTAATATTCATGAGGCTTGAAAAGATCGACAGCTATTGCAAACGTCAGTGTTACAACTTTCAATGATGCATGTAGCCAGGCCTATTTTTCCGATTTCAACGAAAGTAATGAACACATCACAATGAATTTTAGCACATACCTGAATCATTATGAGGAAAGTAAACCCTGAAAGTTGAATGAAGATATGGTCTTTCAAACGGGAGACACTAGTTTTCAAAGAATTTGCCCGCCAACATGAACATGTGTGTGCACATGCATGACATGTAGTTTCATTCAAAATGAAGTGTTACGTAACCTTTAGAAATCGCCCTTCGCAACCACATGACTGGATGGATAAGGTACCAAATGTGAAAACAAGATGAAAAGAACACAAAAGTGAACTTCGTTTTTACAGGTGACAGAGAAAGAAAGAATTTACAGAATAATATTGCATTGCAGAGGCTGCATCGCTCTGACATGTCTGATGGGAGAGATGGCTGGTGTTGGAAGGCCTGTTTAATGTGTGGATGGGGCTATGTGTAGAACGGCAGATGGTGGTACAGTTGTTTTCCTTGTTCAGGATCGCAATCATTATTCAATATACTCTCGGCTCGACTAATTCATGAATTCAAGTGACACTGGTTAAAAAGTGTACCTTCAATGATGAAGATTTCAATTGTTAAGCCAGAACCATCCCGAATCAAGCACATTTTCTGATAAAGTATTACTTAATTTTTCAAAAAACAGTTCATTCAAGAGAATTCCAGCAACTTTTAAAAAGGGAATTAACGTAAATGATTTTGAATTATTGTCTGCAGCACGACGGCACGAACATGCCCGGACCGAAAACCTTTGACCCATCACAGAATACATCACATTAAAAATGATTAACGTGTGTGTAGTTGGGTCCTCCGTGTACGTGCAGGCACGATCCGGAACTAGGCAAAAACATACAGTCATTCGTTTGCAAATTTTCAAATATTACAGACTCTAAAACTTATTTTGATTCAACAAACATTCAATGTTAGAGTTTATACATCTGTAGAGTACAAACAAAATATTCATAATCACCCGTTCCCACTGTGATGTTGTTGAGAAAATTTATTGTCGATTGATTTCGACAAACCATGATTTCTACAAACCATCCAAACGTGCCAAAGTGCGCATCGGAAATCAGACCATAAGAGGGGGGGGGGGGGGGGGGGCTGAACACCACATTACACTATGGGGCGCTCTTCAGGATATAGATGTACATGTATATCAACATGTTTCAAATTAACGCATTTTAAAAGCTTTTGTATTCGTTTCTCCACTTTTCAATGATATTGAATACATTTGGGTTGTTGGGATGTTAAAAAAATACCTCAAAATCCGCATTTTGTTTTTCCCATCACGAAAAAGTATGAGGGGATGACTCAATAGCCCATACCCCCCAGGTCCAAAAGTGGGAGGGATATATACCCCCCCCCCAGGATTTATGCCCCTGCAGGAAAGACAAACCTGCAGCATTCTTTTGGATCTGCTCAAGGTGGTTTACATGTATGTAATTCGCTGTGAATTATTTATTATGTCCACTCCATCTAAAAATCAATGCCCTTTTATGATCCATTTTACTTGTAATAATATGTAATGTGACAGTAAATATTGGCTTGGCTGGATAAGATTGTACCAGTTAAGCTTTGAAAAAAAGGTTGTGTTTTCATAAGTCACATTGCGATTGCAACACTTTAGCTTTGAAACAAATTGTGTTTTCAGAAGTCACACCAAGACTAATTGATTCTGTTTTTACCCCAAACATCGCATACAAAAATAAACGCTGATTAATTTAAGGAATAGCCAGGCACCAGACTATTCCTAATATGCATATGTGTGCAAGATTTTGAACACATGTATCTAAATGATCCAAAACCGAAATGAGAGCGGGTAGTGGTGGGAGCGTACTGCATGACAGTCGACACCTTGTTAGATTATGATGGGTTGGGTTCCGTGTGTCTGAGTCACGTGTATCCACTCAATCAAGATCAAACACCACAGTGCTGTTCCAAAAAGTGTACTATTGGATTTTGATTGATTGGATGTCGTTGACCACTGTGGGTTACTGTGTTGTTGGAGTTTGATGGGATGAGTACTGTTTGTACAGGGTGAGTAAAAAAAGCAGAACCCAAACCCAAAGAAATATATTTCATATTTAAAAAAACTATACATGTAGATGTATCCAATAATAATTGACTGGTAAACGATTTAATAAACTACTTTTAGATGAAAGAAACTACTTCAGTTGCTCAATCCCTATATCACTACTTATAACGAAATGACCCTAAAATCTGTTTGGTCTAAAAATGCAATTTAAAGAACTGTCATTACAATTGTCTTAAAACATCATCAGTGATAATAACAATAATAATAAATGGGCAATTCCACACCAAAGAGTACTGTTCCATTGGGTTACTGTGTTGTTGGAGCTTGATGGGATAAGTACTGTTCATTGGGTTACTGTGTTGTTGGAGTTTGATGGGATGAGTACTGTTCCATTGGGTTACTGTGTTGTTGGAGTTTGATGGGATAAGTACTGTTCATTGGGTTACTGTGTTGTTGGAGTTTGATGGGATGAGTACTGTTCCATTGGGTTACTGTGTTGTTGGAGTTTGATGGGATAAGTACTGTTCATTGGGTTACTGTGTTGTTGGAGTTTGATGGGATGAGTACTGTTCCATTGGGTTACTGTGTTGTTGAAACTTGATGGAATGAGTACTGTTCATTGGGTTACTGTGTTGTTGGAGTTTGATGGGATGAGTACTGTTCATTGGGTTACTGTGTTGTTGGAGTTTGATGGGATGAGTACTGTTCATTGGGTTACTGTGTTGTTGGAGTTTGATGGGATGAGTACTGTTCATTGGGTTACTGTGTTGTTGGAGTTTGATGGGATGAGTACTGTTCCATTGGGTTACTGTGTTGTTGAAACTTGATGGGATGAGTACTGTTCCATTGGGTTACTGTGTTGTTGAAACTTGATGGAATGAGTACTGTTCATTGGGTTACTGTGTTGTTGGAGTTTATAAAGGGAATGAGTACTGTTAGTGTAAGCTGTTGGGTTTTGAATGATTGGACTTTCTCCGTATTGTGAGCCACAAAGTGGTCATACGCTATACGCAGGGAAAAATTATTTTGAGTAAATTGAAACCGGGACTGTTTTTTCACTTGATGTTCATTCACCATGGAAGATACTCACCAGGTTAATAAATAATAGGCAGTGGATATTTAGCAGGAGACGGCAAACCATTAGTAAACGTTAGATTGCCGGATATGCACTGAACATGGGTAGTTACTGTTTTTTTATACTTAGACATTTTCCGGTGAAAAATTTTAGTCTGGCTCCATGACAATATTATCGTTGTAACTTTGTATTCACAAGATAGGAATCTGACCATTTTACAATTTCGGACTTTATATCCCTTTAAAAGAATCCTCAAGATCCACAAATCTGAAAAAAGAAAATGTAATACTCTGCAATAAAATGTTTGATAATAATAAAATAAATAATAATAAAAGAAGAATATTCTTACTTTGGGGGGGATGGGGAAAAAACCTTTAAAATTTCGCCAGCGGTGATCGAACCCGGATCCTCCCACTCATGAGATCTGTTGCTTATCCAGCAGGCCACAGGTTTTGATTTTGTTCCCTTATAGGAACCGGGCCCTACACTACACGATCACCCACAACTGTTGGTGGTAATTTAGGGAGTAATTGCAGAATACCCCGCCACTCGGCTAAAATCACTGGCTACGAGGTTGGAATCACTGCAAAAGAAACAATTCAAGTCCATTGCCAGCTATGCGGATACTGAGTGGGGGTCCATTATTTGAGAACGAAGCAACACAAAATGAATGGGAGTTGCTGAAAAAAATTCTAAGTCCAAACCAACCACCCTGTTGGCGGCTACGAGGCTACGGAGTGGGAGTCCCCTTGAATATGCTTGAGAACGAAGCAACACAAAAGGAATGGGAGTTGCTGAAAATTTTTTAAGTCCAAACCAACTACCCTGTTGGCGGCTACGCGGTCACGAAGTGGGAGTGCAATGGAGCATGACGCATAGTACATACAAGTAGCGCTGAGAATGTTTATTGAGGTCAATCAGCCGTGACCTCGTAGCCGGCTACGAGGTGGATAGATCGAGTGGCGGGGTATTCTGCAATTGTGCCTAATTGAGTATATCTTAACCCTAAATGACAACCCAATGATAAAATTTAGGGCGGGGTAACTCCTACTCCTAGAACTATGAGGCTCCACGTAGTGGAGCCTCATAGGTTCAGAACCCCGCAAAATTGTTGTCGGCACAAAACACTAATTAAGTACAAAAACGTTCATCCCAACCAAGCTGTTTCCCACAGAACCGCTGCACAGTTTGCCCCTAAACTCCGTACAATACCTCATGACATACTCACGTTATGTGCACCCAACAAACATCAGTGGATTCTGTCGGTTTTTCGGCAAAATGATGAAAAATATGCCTTTTCCGCACTGAGCCAACCTGACACTTGAAATTTGCACGCGCGCAGAATGATCGCAGTCATTTTCGGGTTCGATCGCTCGGAGCGCGCCGCGGGGGGTACGTACTCGCACTTGTACGCATGCGCATACTATCGTTCCGCTCCTACACCATCCGGTTCGTTAGTAAAAACGTCATACACGCGCGCACACCACTGATTACTAGCGCCCATTGGCTGCAAATGCTCGAGCTGCGTTAACTTCCGGTTCCAATCGTGCAGAAAGTGCCTGAGGTGACGTCACACTAACGAACCGGATACCCCCCGCGGCGCGCTCCGAGCGATCGGACCGAAAATGACTGCGATCATTCTGCGCGCGTGCAAATTTCAAGTGTCAGGTTGGCTCAGTGCGGAAAGGGCATATTTTCCATCATTTTTGCAAAAAAACCGACAGAATCCACCGATGTTTGTTGGGTGCACAAAGCGTGAGTATGTCATGAGGTATTGTACGGAGTTTAGGGGCAAACTGTGCAGCGGTTCTGTGGGAAACGGCTTGGTTGGGATGGACGTTTTTGTACTTAATTAGTGTTTTGTGCTGACAACAATTTTGCGGGGTTCTCCACTACGTGGAGCCTCATAGTTCTAGGAATAGGTAACTCCAGCTACCATTACATGTTACTAGTCGACAACTCCAAGTTCCTCACATCATGCACATCGCATCCAACTACAAAAAAAAAACTTTTCCGGCGTGGCCCTGCTCCTCTTTAAATTAAGTTTTAACTTTACAGTTGTATGGACTATCAATCAATCAATCAAAATCTTTAATTAATACTAATAGTTGAATAGCGGTCCTACTAAAGCGCGTCAACAAGCGTCAACAAGCGTCAACAAGCGTCAACAAGTTTTAGTAGTCGTTAAGTGCGCGTCAACAAGATTTTTATAGACTTTTGAACAATAAAAACAACTTTATAGTAGAAAAAGCAATAATGAACATCTTCTGCATATCAATTAATGTTAAAATTATTTAAAAAGTGGTTTTCTAGCGCGAAATCTACGACGGGTTTTTCGGTTTAGTATTGGCCGCCATCTTGTTTGAGATCTACATACTACGCATGCGTGGAGTGTACCATTCACGCATAGGGGTTTCTTTATACTATACGCTTTGCGAAACCTCGTTTGGTTTTTGCATTGGGATTTTTTGGCGGACATTGTGAACAGTGTCAGTCGGCATATTTTTCAAATAATTAGCCAAGTACCGTGACAAAGTTTTGCATAATTTATAATTGAAAAAAAAAATAGTTTTCCTAAAAACCAAACGAGGTATCGCCTAAGCGTATCGTATAAAGAAACCCCTACGCGTGAATGATACACTCCACGCATGCGTAGTATGTAGATCTCAAACAAGATAGCGGCCGATACTAAACCGAAAAACCCGTCGTAGATTTCGCACTGGAAAGCCACTTTTTAAGTAATTTTAACTTTAATTGATATGCAGAAGATGTTCATTATTGCTTTTTCTACCATATAAAGCTGTTTTTATTGTTCAAAGGCCTATACAAAATTTGTTGACGCGCACTTAACGACTACTAAAACTTGTTGTCGCTTGTTGACGCTTGTTGACGCTTGTTGACGCGCTTTAGTAGGACCCTTGAATAGTGGTACGGTGGGGGCCTACGGTTTTTGATTAGTCATGCCATTTTTTGTCAGTCATCACCACGCTCGGTTTGGTGCGCTGTTACCGGCACATTTTCTAATGTTCAGATTCTATTTGAAGAACGCAAGTCATAACACTATTTTTCTATCTACTTAGGTATAATTATAAGGTGGTACAAATATAATTAAATATGTAAAATCACGAAACTAAGTCACAACTTACCACACCATCGTACTTTCGAGCACCATTTTGTCGGCTAAATTTGTAGTCGGATCCTCGATACGATACAGGCAGAAATCTCCATGCATGACGGCTAGTGACAAGACCAACTCAAGTTGCTATTGTCCTTCCGTAACGTAAGTAAGATTCATTTTGATTGGCGAATTTTCAGGAATTATCTATTGCGTCCACATTATCCATCCAATTAAAATGTACGTTGTTCAGTGCACAGTAACAATCCCAGCACGCAATGTAGACCTAGACGGAAGTAAACAAAAAAGCAGACGACATGCATGCATAACGTGGGAGATCGGACACGGCAGCCGCGATTTGTGTTCGGTTTATATTAAGACCTGAACGTGAAGTGTAGTATCAATGGAAATCTTTGGCTGTGGATATAATGGTTTTGGGCAACTACTCCCTGCATCATCAAAACGGTGTATCTGTTCTCCTGTCAAGATTTTTCAGGAATTTGTTTTGTTGGACACAAATTACAAAGAATCCCGATTTGCACTAGGCCGGTCTGCTTCCATGGCTTCGGAAAAATTCATCAAATTAACTTCATCCTGGAGTACAGTGCACGTCCTAAGTGGTAACAACATGATTTCGAGCATTTTCTTGGCGTATATCCAACATTGTCCAAACAAATATGTCGGTTTTGGCAAATTAAACTTTAAAAGATCTCTGCTTGCACTGAGCCTCTGAGGCCTTCACTGAGTAGCCCCATAAGTGTGGCCAATTTACTGGACTACCTCCGTAAATTATAAAGGCCACACTTCCACCATGTACAAAAGCATGTCGAACTTTATCAAATTTTGAGTGTCACATTTAGGCTTAGTTTGTAGTTTATTTTTGCTTTAGAAGCATACTCACCCTCTTTATAGGCTAATCAGATTGGTTTGCACACTTTTGCGTATCAAAATTTCAACATGAAATTTCACGAAAATTAGACATCTGAAAAAAGGCAGCACTTTCTGATTAGCCTATTAAGAGGGTAAGAATGCTTCTAAAGCAAAAATGAACTACAAACTAAGCCTAAATGTGAAAATGTGGGAGCCCACCCAGGGCACTGCCTTAAGAGGGAGAAGAAGTCTGACCTTTGTGGACCAGCTCAAGAGGGACACTGATCTCACATCTGCGCACCTGCATGACAGATCGAGACAGCTGGAGGAAGAGGACTCAGGGACTGGCTCGTGATGTCGTCACAACCCAGGCCACCCCGACATGATGATGATGATGAAATGTGAAAATCAAAATGTGACAAAGTTTGACATGTTTTTGTACACAGTGGAAGTGTGGCCTTTATTTACGGAGGTAGTCCAGTAAATTGGCCACATTTATGGGGCTATTCACTGAGGACATTTTTTGTTGAAACATAGTCATTGGCTATCGTTATGGCTATCGTTACGGCGTTGCAAAACACCATCGCGAATCTACATGTATAACTGCCATGACTGCCATACCAACCAGAGTGCAGAAAAACATACAAACAAATTCAGGCGCCAATTTTTACTCACTCTCAAAATTCTCCAAAACTTCACCAGCCCAGTATCAATTCAATTTTTAAAGGAGACTTTCCTTCAACATTTTGCACCTAAGAGTGAATAATAGTGAAGCCAAGTGATTTCAGTTTGAAGCCTAAAACTAGACTGGTATATATCCAACTGTTTGAAAGGACTGACTGCTTCAGGCAGACTATGGAGAGATATTAAGAAACAGAGCCAGGTACTATAGATGTTTCTTTTGACACAGTTGGCTGATGCAGTACTAAAGGGGTGTGGGACTGGTTGTTTGGTTCATGTGCCAGTCTATTTTCTTGTTTTGCATGTTTTCAACACCTTAAGTTTTGGGACTCAGTATCGAGAGTTCAACATTTTCGGACTAATGTCATAATGTGCTTTCTCATTTTCCCACTATTCACATTTCAGATTCTAAAATTTGGTGGCAAGGATTCTACAATGGAAAGAAGTCGGCATTTCAGACTTTGGAAACAGATGAATTGCAGAGGAGTCATGTAGTTGATATGGATGCTACATGTGAAAAGTTATATTGCACAACAGAAGATGGAGAGTGTATTGCAGTGGACATAGGGACTGGTCAAGTGTTAAAGGTCAAAGAGGGTGAAAATGGATTGAGAACAAAATTCTTGAAGGTTGCTGTTGGTGATAGGAATAAAGTGGCAGTTACAGGTAGATATTGGATTATTTAGCTGGATCACTAAATCAATACTGCTACTAATTCCACATCTTATTAACTTCAAGTGGTAGGATCATGAAGAAACTGTATTGTGGAAAACAGTTTCTTGTTTATCTATCTTGTTTTCTCTTCTGCAGATGGGTATTCATCTGGTTTTATTTCAAGTGAAAACAGCAGCTATATCTTTCGTCCCTTTGATTGTGCTGTAAAATTCTCTCAAGTGCACTGCGGTAAAGAGCATGTGATTCTGCTCTCTCAGATCTACCAAGTGTACAGCTTTGGGCTTGGCAGGTGAAGTAGAACTTTCCTCGGTTAACATAATAACTTCAAAGTTCTGTGTAAACTCATGGGGCAAATGTCAAGCTGTCTACATGCATGTAAGGTCAAATTTCGCAATAAAAGCACTTGGTCCAATTTTTTTTTTGGTAATCACAGTCGAGGCCAGTTGGGTCATGGGACAACGGATGGAGAAAGTCAGCCAAGACTCCTAGAAGCTCTGGGGAGTGTTCCTGTAGACACAATCAGTGCAGGTGGATGGCATTCAGCAGTAGTCAGCAGTGAGTTGTTTTTTTAGGTTAATGGAGTAATTTACAGCAGGCTGGAGTTGGGGAGAGAGATTGGTGGGGGATAAAGTGGGGGTTATGCAAGGAGAGACCCTTTGCAGACATTGTTGGTGGATGTCTATTTTTTTTCTTCTCATTTTTGGTTGGTGAGTGGGTTGGATAGATACACTTTAACCAAAGTATCGCTGTTACTGATTCAAACGTGGATAGGAATAAACATGTAATTGTATTCCTCCATGATTCAAAGGAGATGGGTCAGAAAGATTACAAATATGTCATTCAAATGTAAACCACTTTTTCAACAATGTTTGTTTTCATTATCCAGCCACCACTTAATTCTCCATTTTCTTTTTCAAACTCATATTAGCTATTGGAGATATCTATGTATGGGGCTGGAATGAATCTGGCCAACTAGGATTTCCAATGCAGAGAAAATCAGTAAGCCAACATCACGGTACCTCTCAAGATCTGCTTGCTGATGGAAGCGATTATCTGCCCAGTCTAGAGAAACCACACTCTGGAGTAAAGAGGACTTTGGAGCAACATGCAGAACAAACCGCATGGACAAAGAAGAAAGCCATATCTTTAAAATCAACAGAAAGTAGTAGTACATTGTCTCAGTCACTTGAAGATGGAAATTTAAAGTTAATTAAAGGAGAAGTTTTTGAAACAAGCAAAAGATCCCATGGAAATCAACCTCATTACAAAAATGTAACTTCTCAGACAGACGTTCATTATCAGAAGGCACACCAACCATTAAAACTCCCCTCACTGCATGATACAGGTTTCCAAAAACAAGTTACTGCAGAAATAAATTCCACCTTAAATGAAGTGATTGACGATCGGAATTATGGTGCTGGAGAAGAAAGCAACTGTTCCAAGGAGCATCATGCAGCAGACCTGATGGATGAACGCAGTGACAGCAGAGACACCATACTCTTCCAGCCTCTTCCCAGAATACTTGACCTTCCCAATGGGAAGAATGTTGTCAAAGTCAGCTGTGGTTCACGGCACACTGCTGCCATCTCTGGTAAGTTTCTCCGGTAATCAGCTAAGCTTGAATGACATCACAAGAATTTTCAAAATTGTTGATAATTCACATGTGTGATATTTCTGATATTTCTATGGAGACAATTTAAAACTGTTTTCTAATCTTTTCAAAAGACCTTTCTCAGGGTACACCATTTTGAAAATCAAAGTGAAGCATATGATACAAACTTGAATATTCTGTAAATGCGTTTGGTAAGTACATGTACTAGATACAGAATTTTCACACCAAAAATCTTAGTGTGCACTAATCCTATCATCCTTTATGTTTCAGAGGATGGATGTCTCTACACCTGGGGATGGGATGCATATGGCCAACTTGGTCACGGCGACGCACTAACAAGAGATATTCCAACAATGGTGAAATGTATCAGGGAGGATCAACGAGTGATAGATGTTTCCTGTGGAGCTTGGAATACGCTAATCGGGATCACATCCTATGAATGACATGACAAGATTAGTCAAGTGGCATTATAGTAGGCAGTTTTTGAAGGTGGTATTTTGTGAACAATTTTAACTCTACTTGCATATAATATATTTGTGTATTATGGGCTACACATGTATAACTAAAATAAAAAAAATACATATAAATAAAATATAAAAGATGATTCAAACCCTCTCTCAGACTGCAAATATGGCCATCACATTTACATTTTCATCGAAATAAACATAAAATATCGAAATCAAGTATATTATACGTCACAGGTGGGAGCTACTGTTATGAACATCTTCATCCCTTAAAAATTCGTTTAAGAGCCAATTTACCGTGAACAAAATTTCCATAGATTTTTACACATACTATGGGGGATTAGGAGTCTGTGAAAACATTTGTTTAGCATTTCTTTAGCCATGGAGATAGACACAGTGTACCGTTATGTATAACCAATGATAATCCCCAGGGTCCAGGGTCATTAAAAAAAACCTGTGAAAAAACCCTTGCGGGATTAGTCCTATACTGAAGCCCCACGTAAAAATGTCCGTGAAACATCTCTTAAAGATGCAAGCAGAAGTGGACTTTTAAAGAACATTTAAGAGATCAGATGCTCATAGTACAGGCGTACAAAATCCTTTCAGATTAAAACCACATGTATCAAAATATTCCTTTGAACTTACTATGAAACAATTTTACCAGAAACAAATATAAAATCCAATAAAGGATATTTTGGTGATACATTTGGATGATTCAGCAAATTTTTAATTAACAGGCTGGGTGTGAAATCTCCGCTTTTTAGCGGATTTCCGGTTTTTGTGTAGCGTGCCACATTTTGTTTTCCGCTTTTTTATTCTACCGATGGTCCAGATTTTCCCCCGCGCATTGATTTTATTTCCATTTATTTTATTTTTCGCTGCCGCCGGCCGGCCGAACGCACGCGATAAACACAATCGATCCGTTCTACAAATCACGAAGTGAACACAATTACCCATAATGTGCGTGTAGGCTACTGCACATATGCCATACGATGATGTAGTCCAATTCTACAACTGCGCCTGCCAGGATGTTATTGATGGTGGCGCTCAACCAATCACCCGTTCCCGTTTCATCCGCCGTACAGTCCGTGGAAGCCGCTCGTCAGGCACGGCGTCGCCGAACGGAAATGGAGGAAGACCCGTACATCATCGAGCCTACGTCCTGTCACAACGGCATGTATCTGATGCCATCACTCAAGTCAAGACAACATACTTCAATGAACAGTTTTCGAATTGTAACTCTTAAGATATGTTCAAGACTGTAAATGAATTACTGAATACTAACCAATGTCATTTACACGATTCTACCTCCTCAAATGTACTTGCTAATGAGTTTGGTGATTTCTTTTTGCGTAAAGTTGATAACATTCGATCTGAAGTGGATAGTACACATGTATTGCCTTCAACAATACAGTACACCCATTGAATAATAACCCCTTACATTGTACTATGTCTTGCTTTGATCCTGTTACTGTTGACGAATTAACTAGCATTGTTATGAATGTCCATCCAAATCCTGTGATCTTGACCCCATGCCCACATGTAAACAATCATTTGCCTACTCTTATTCAGATTTTGTGTAGCATCGTGAACGGCTCATTGTCTGCGAGCGTGTTTCCGCTGGAACTCCGCAGAGCTAGAATTACTCCTGTCCTGAAAGGTCATCCCTGGGCAGTCAACAACTTCAAAGTTACCTGTGTCCAACTTGCCCTTCAAGGGTAAACTTATTGAAAAGGTTGCGTCCTCCCTGGTTGCTTCTTTCGTCCATTCCAATACCTTGTCTGAACCTCTGCAGTCCGCTTACCATCCTGCCCATAGCACTGAACGAAACTGCTCTTCTCACAGTTCAAGGTGCAATAGATCACCGTATCCTCTTACACCGTCTCACTTATGACTTTGGTCAAGATGGTGCTGTCAAGACCTGGTACCACTCTTACTTCAGTGGCAGAACGAGTCAAGCTCGTGTGAAGGAAGCTCTCTCTGCTGAAAGCCAATCTGAAATTCATCAGGGATCTGTTATTGGTCCTCAGCTTTTTGTATACTCCCACATCATTGGTTAAATAGTTCATCGACACTATTCAATACTACATTATGCTGATGTATTCTTGACCTTTGGGCCCACTACGCCATGAGATGCTGGCTGTTTCGATTGCCTCGTTGTGTCAAAGAACTTCAATCTTGCATGATCTCTACTCCGGATGAAGCCAGATTATTAGACAGAGTTCTTCACTGCATCTTCTTCCGTTCACTTCAAACATCTTCAGCACTGTGCTTTTAACCTTGTTGAGGTTGAAATGCAGCCCCCCTCGGTCAGAAACTTGGGTGTTGCATGTGTTTGACCATTACATGTATAATTATGTCTGATCACATTACACATGTGGCTTTCTCAACTGGCATATATCCGCAACCTTAGTCGGATCAGGAAATTTCTTGACTTCATCAATGCTTGCCACAATGCTTTCCGTGTCCTGATTCTATCGAAGCTTGACTATTGCTACTGTCTGCTAAACAGAGTCTCTAAGAAAGATATCTCGTCTTCAGAGACTTCAAAACAGATGCGCAAGACTCTTTCAGACGCCCAAACCATACCTCTCCTCTGCTCAAACAATTCATCATCATCATCATCATCACTTGGTACACGGCAACAGAACTAAAAGTTCCATGACGCCGCGGGGTGTAGACGATGTCTAGTTCGTGAGGGCAGCTTTAAAATTAACAAGGGTCGGTCGTGTAGTAATGTCAAGGGGTAGCCTATTCCAATCACGGATGGTTCTAGGGAAGAATGAGTTCTTGTATTTATCAGTTCTGGATACGATGATGTTGTATGCGTCAGCTGTGAAGTGCCGGCTTGAATGATTGTTGTCTCTAAGTTGAAGCTTGTTGGATGTCACTGGAGATGCCCCTTTGTGAATAAGGTAGAACTGGCTTAATCGGGCATTCTGGCGCCTTTCTGCCAGACTTTCCCACTCCAGATCTTGGATCATTTTGGTGACGCTAGATTTACGGCGATAATCGTTGACCACAAAACGTGCCGCCCTTCTTTGAACTTCGTCCAACATCTGAATGTATTTAGCTTGGTAGGGGTCGGTGACTGCGGCAGCATATTCGAGGTGAGGTCGAACGAGGGCCTTGTATGCTTTGGCTTTGGTTTCTATGCTGCATTGGTGGATATTTCTTTGAAGAAGACCAAGGATTTTATTTGCTTTACTAACGGTGCGCCGATAATTTGGTTCCCAGGAGAGGTTATCCGATATTGTCACTCCAAGGTATGTGTGCTCTTGAACTTGCTCAAGGGTTTCTCCAAGCATGGTGTAGTTGTGATGAATCTTGGACCTCTTTAGTCCCACGGACATGGTGTTACACTTTTTGGGGTTAAAGGTCATTTGCCACTTGGAAGCCCATTGACACACATGATCAAGGTCTTTCTGGAGTTTATCACAATCCTCATCACTGGCTACGGTGGTGTATAAGATGCAATCATCAGCGAACAGTCGTATGTTGCACTGGATTGTGTCTGTGATGTCATTGATATATGTCCAGAACAACAATGGCCCCAATACAGTTCCCTGTGGGACTCCTGAAATTACTGGGTGCCATTTGGAAGTTTCTCCATTGATGATTACCCGTTGTTGTCGTTGTGTCAGAAACATGCTAATCCAGTTGAGAGTGTTGAGAGTGACTGGGAGCCAAGTGCACTGGCTCCCAGTCGCCCGACGTATTTAGTTCTGCACATTGGTTCACATTTACAAATCCTCACAAATCACTAAACATTGCACCGGCTCTCCTCTCTTCTCGCAATCCGGCAGATCCGTCCTTAATCCCTTCGTTCTTCTGCGGTCGACCCTTGTCATCCCCAAGTCACGACAGGCTGGTGACGGGGCCTTCTCCATTGCCTCCCCCGAATTTCTGGCAGTGTTTTGTCCTTCAAAAAGGCTCTCAGGACACCTTTTCCCTAAATCGTAGCTGGCTGTCCTCTTTTCTTGTCCTTCCCTGTACCGCCCAGTATCGCTGACGTCAATATGCAGCAAGGTCATAGAACATACTCTGCACCCCAACATATCAGATCATCTTATTGAACAGTATATACAACATCTTGTGTGAGGAACAGCAGCAATTACACTCCTGTGAATCCCAGCTCATCCAGACAATACACGATCCGGCTCTTGCACTTGACAGAAAACAGACAGACGCAGTAATTATGAATTTTTCGAAAGCATTCGATAAAGTGGCCCACAACAGATTGCTTCTCGAAATCAACCATCATGGGGAAGAGCTACAAATGGATTTCATCTTTCTTAAAGACCGTCACCAACGAGTTCGTCTCGTCGATGGAAATAACTCAGAGTGGGTACATTTGCTCTAATTCCTGCTGTTTTAGTAACGACTTGCCCTGCAACATTTCTCTTCATCTGTTCGACTCTAAGCAGATGACTGCGTCCTTTATAATACAATTGAAAAAGCCAGATGCTGAGCATTTACATCAGGGCCTTGATACTCTTAGAGAATGGGACAAGACCTGGCAAATGGAATTTAATACGGACAAGTGCTTAGGCCTATAGTCGTGAAAATTACTCACTCGGCAACGGAACCCATCAACCTACAAATAGAGACTAGGATACGCTTCAGGAAGCCGACAGCCATACATATATACCTGGACGTCGACGTCAACATCAACAATCAAGATGGAATCAACATCAACAAGATCACTTCCACTGCAAACCGCAGCCCTTCGTCGCAACATCTTTATCTGCTCAAGAAGAACCAAGACCAAGGATTTTACCACATTTTGTCAGACCTCATTTAGAGTAAATTTCGCGACTCGGAATTCATGTACACAGGAATAGATAACTCAGATTGAAGCCGTCAAATGTACAGGAGCAAGATTTTTTGTTCGAAGATTGTCAAAAAAGAGTAGCCAATCAGCTATGATCTCTGCACACAAATGGGATCCTCTCTCATGTAAATATAAGGAATTAAGGAGCGCCGCCTCAGCGCCTTCCACAATGCAATACACGGTTACATATAGCATCCCGGCGAGAGAGTGGCGCACCCGGGGGGGGGGGGCGAGGCTGTCTTTTTCTCTCTTGTTTTAATGTATTTTTTTTTTGTCCCACGATTTGACCTGGGTGACATGTATGTGGCCTATTTTCGAGTTGTACAACGGGGGTGTAAGTGGCGCCATCCAACGTCAAAATAGTCCCCCCCCCCCCAAATAATTTGTCTAAAACAAATTGCTAGCGCCCCCCCCCCCCCCCCCCAACAAAAAAACACCAAATCCTGGGTGCGCCACTGCGGCGAGAACCATCTTACGCCCGACCACACACTCATCTAGATCTTCCAATACCTAATCGGACTCGGTACAACCAAAGGACTGTTACAAATCATTCCTTTTTTTTCCCCCAAGGACTGTAACCGAGTGGAATCAATTACCTGTGAACGTAGCATCAATCACTAACAACTGAACAAGCACTTGGTAAGAAACTATTGTTGATGTACCTATAACGTGGCGCGGCCCCCAACGTGGCGCACTTTGATTTTTCGCCTGTAGCGCTTAGCTAGAGCAAAAGTTTTAACTGAAATTTCACAGAAAGTGACATTTCATCAAGTTCTAAACACTCCCGTTCATAAGATAAACTTATTTTGGCGTGATTTTCCGATTTTATTTTCAAGTGCGAAGTGAACACTTTGAAAATGCCCCGAAAAAATAAGAAAATAATTTTCTGACAAACATCTGGCTGGGTATGTAAGTAGAGATAATAATGATTTATCAGAATTTATCAAGTGAACAGAAATTCTTAAATGTTAATTTGGAATTTTCCGAGATTTATTTAAGTGCGCCACGTTAGGGAACACTCCGCGAATTTGTGCCCAATTTCCGGACGCCACCGTTTTTGAATTTCGGATTAATATAAATTTTATGAAACCGAAATTGTTCACAGAGGTTAAATAGCACGCATTAATAAGGTAAAAGTACCAGTATGTTACTGCATGAATTTGAGGTTTGTCAACAAATAGGTTTGGCAACACTACTCGAGGAAAGGAAAGTTGGGTAAGCTTCGAAGTGCGCCACGTTAGGGAACACGACTATAGAAACATCCCGCGGCAGTCACAACCCTGCTCGGCTGCAACAACACAAGGACTATTGCTTCAGCAGATGCAAAAGTCGCCAAGCTCCTCCGGCCATGCATGGAATCGGCCCTGTTTGAGGCCCAACACCTCAGGCCGTCCCCGCTTGTGGATCGATATGATACCGGAAAAATATACTCAAGCTGCCGGTACACCCGGAGACAATTTTTTTTTTCACCTTATGGTGGGCCCATG